GTGGAAACCACAGCTTTTCTTTTGTGTACAGCTGCGAAAACAACGCGAAGTAGACTAGTGAAGGGACTTCCCAAAGGCTTGTCATACTTGTAGAATCTTCTCCCGGAGATGAAAACCACAAAGCTCAGAAGATTAGCAGCTAGAGAAAGAGCAAAACCGAAGGTCCAGCTGACGTTGTCTTCAGAGTAGACAATGGCTGTTGCACTTATCGCTCCTCCTAGATACGTTGTGAAGAAGAACCAGTTGAAAAAGCTTCCTTGGTCTTTGGTTTTCTCGTACTGGTTCGCACCAGCTGTTGCTAATGTGAACCTTGTCCCACCTGTTCCTATGGAGGCTAGTGTTATAGCCGTGTAAAGCACACCGAGCTGGATTTTCGAAGGTGACTCGCATAGGATTGACCCTGTTTCACAAGGTTTTGGTTTTAAAGAGTCAAGCGCAGCGGTTAGAGTCAGCAGCACAACGCCCTGGTCAAAGAAGAGTTTCTGTTTTAGAGAGGATTGATCAAAAAAAAAACAACAGATTCTGAGTGAGTCTTGTTGTAACTTTACCATTAGAGAAATGAAAGCTGAAACAGATATAACAGGGATGGTTCCGAAGAAAGAGTCAGCAGAAACAGCTACAATGGCTGGAACCATACAGATACAGCCACTAACAATGTTGGCAATTTGAGCAGCCGCGATGCTCTTCACGTTGAATTCTTCGATCAAGTAGACGATCAAGTTAAGTAACCAACCCCAAGCAGCTATTGTCAGGCCTAACAACGTAGCTGCACACAACAGAAAGATAGCTTCAGTTTTCTACTTATTTAAGTTTTAATGGTTATGATATGAAAAAAATGAAAACAGAGAAACAAGAATCTCTCTGACCTATCATAAACGGAAAGGTGATCCAACCTCCACGGCGGCGTTTGGTGGAGGAAGCTGCTGACACTGATACTTCTGCATCGCCGGAAACTGATTCAGACATGTCTCAAAATCAAGCAGGGGTCTTTGACTTTTAGTTTTGTCAATAATGGCCTCAAAGTCTCCAATAAATAAGCAATGATTCAACGATGAGAATGTTTAAAGATGATGACTTCCAATGGTCACGATATTTTATTCTCCACGAGCAGCAGCCTCCAACAACAAACGTTTACAAAAGTATAAATCACAAAGCCTTTTTCCTTTTATTTGAGTTAAGCCATCACTGTCAGCTTCGGAACAGCCTGTGTGAAAGACAAAATGATTTTGTCCAATTTCAACATTTAACAAGTCAACTATCCGGTGAAGGATATTACTAAAGAAAAGACCCATTTGCCTAATTATTGCGAAGGACGTGACCATATATACTTCAATAATGCAAGTAGCTTATGTAGAGCCAAACCCACAAAATTATCTTTAAAGTCATTGAATGGGAAAACAGACTACTCACAGCGACAGCTCTGACTCTTGTACATTACCAAACATTCTTCTTTATTTACACTAGATAAGACTTCAAGGAAGTAAAAAAAGTTTGAAGAAATGGTTTCATATATGGAGTACTTTACATGAGAGCTACATTCAATCACTAGCAGTAATAAAACATTGAACAAAACAAATAGGATTACAAGATTACAAATATGTAGATAGTACATGAATAAAAGAACAGGCTCAAAGATACTAAGCAGCGATTCGGATGGGTATTTGGGTAATACCCGGTGTTGATGCTCTTCTAACCATATGTTGGATTAAGTGCTATGGCTTCGTTGTAGATCATGTCCTTTATCTGTTCCTCATCTAGAGGCTGTTGCTCAAACTCGAAAGAGAATGGCTTTTGACAGATTGGCTCATCATTTGGGTCGTGTAATTTGGCTAGGTACTGATGATTCAAAGCTTCCTCAACTAAACACAGCAAGAAAAAGGGAAGTTGTTTTCAGTTTTTCTTGAATCAAACCATAATGATGATAAGTAAGAAAGCAACAGAGAACACTTACCAGTGATTCTTCTGTTGGGGTCAAACGTCAACATTTTGTCAACTAGATCAATGGCCAACGGGTTAACATGAGAGAAGAGCTTCGCTAATGGCTGGCGAGGGAAGTTTGGAAGTTGCCTGATGTATCTTTTCGCGTCCTCATTATGTGTAAACCCGAGGTCAGACTCCGTCGGCGTCCCAAGCAACTGCAAGAAGATTCATTCGCACATTCATCAACATCTTAAATTCCATATGCTAAAAAAATACATACTTTTTTTTTAAACTCTTTTACCTCTGTCAATAAGCGCATTTGATGGACATGGTCTTTACCAGGGAACAGAGGCTTTCTATTCATAAGCTCCATGAAGATACAACCAACAGACCAAACATCAATAGCAGCTGTGTAGTCCGAGGAGTTCAACAGAAGCTCAGGTGCTCTGTACCATCTCGTGACAACGTACTCCGTCATAAACTCGTTCTCCGAAGTCGGTCTAGCGAGACCGAAATCGCAGATCTTTAAATCGCAGTTCGCGTTCAGCAGAAGATTGCTCGGCTTTAGATCCCTGTGGATAACGTTAGCCGAGTGGATGTACTTGAGCCCTCGAAGAAGCTGGTACAAGAAGTACTGTTTTTTCAAGAAGAAGAAGATTCATGTTAAGTTTCTATGGTTTCTTAAACAATTATTGATTCTGATCAAAACCAAGAACAGTTTTTTTTTTACCTGACAGTGTTCTTCTGATAAACCTTGATTGGATCTGATGATTTGGTGAAGATCAGTGTCCATTAACTCAGTGGCAATGTAAACGTCGCTGAAGTTTCTTCGAAGTGGTGGAGGAACCACATCTCTTATAGCTATAATCTGTTGAAATCACCATTAAAATAAAAAGTAATTAAGATTCGTTCTTTCATCTAATTTTTTTCTGGAGATGTTTCATAAATCGAACGAGAAAAACTTACGTTTTCGTGATCCAGATGACGAAGGAGCTTGATTTCGCGGAGTGTACGCTTGGCGTCCATGTGGTTATCGAAGGCGTTAGCGATCTTCTTCATCGCTACCAGCTCGTTCGTCTCCGAATCCAGCACAGAGCTAGAATAAAAAAAAACAATCAAAACTCCAATCTCCAGAAATGAAGGAGAATAAAAAAAAAAAAAAAAACAAAAATCAAGTGAACATACCAAACGATGCCGTATGCGCCGCGGCCGATTGGGATGATCGGAGGACGATACTTGGATGTGATCTCGAATAGACTACCGAAGATATCGTAGCTTATGAACTGTCCTCCGTGGGTTTGTACCGCCGGAAAATCCGTGTATTGGCCGCCGGCGTTCATCTTTCTCTCTCTCTCTTTAAGTCTCGATCACGCGTTGAGTCAACTTGAAGCTTGACTTGTGGTTGGTTTAGTGAATGTGGAGGGATCGAAACGTTTATATATAATATAATAACAGTTAGCTGAGAGACTGAAACGAGGGAGATGAGTTTTCGCGGTAATTGCGAGGAAGAAAGAAGAAGGTAGAAGAGGAGGAACACAGAGAGATGGGAGGATCGTGCGGATGAGATTAAAGCCGCCTCAAATCGACGGTTGTTGTTCGGTTTTGACTTTGTCAACGGTCTTCCTCCCGACGTCCTCTACAGTTTCTGTCTATCGGGTCTCTGCCATTTTTATTTTCCTGTAAAGTTTTTTATTTATTTTTTCAATAAACTTAAATAACGTGGGATTTAAAATATTTGTAACGTGGACCTTTACAAAATTGTTTTATACCATAAATAAAATAAATATATTCGTTCAGAAATTAATATTTAGTGCTGTTTACGTAATTACGTTAGACTTTAAGATTCGTTTTTTCGAGATTATAGAGAATTTATATATAGAAATATTAATATCACGTGTGGTTTAAGAGGATTAATCATAATTATATACTACTTGTATTGATATTTTAGAATTTTTACATAGATTAAGAAATAATTAACTTAACTTTTATTATATTATTTTTTCATTTTAAATAACTATTAATCAACAAAAATTATAGAGTTCTCTTGAAATTTGCATTTTTGTGATATTATTAACAAAATTTAAATTTTAAAAACTAAAACATCAAACAATATGAAACAAAGAAAAAAAATCTAAACATCAAATATTAGTTATCATGCTGTTTAACATAATAGAGATAAGTTATATTTCTACTATTTTTCTCAGTTATGTTAGGTAGCTTGATATAACTATTTTTTTAAAATGAACACAACAACGAAAAATATTAAAATTTCTCACCAAAAAACTTACAACCGATGGCAACCAGGTCAAACCGGAATAGTGGCAGAATCCGTAATAAACGTAAAATATAAGGGTATAGTTGGCAAGAGATTAAGAGTTAAAATAGCGCCAAAATCAGTAAATCACTAGTTCACTACCATCTCGTTCTATCTATCTCTCTCTCGGCTCTCGCAATCCAATCCCAATCTTTCATCTCCACCAAATCTCGATCGATCTTTCTCTCACTCGTATGTTTAACAACCTCTTCTTCATTCTCATATCCGGATTCTTTTGCGTCTCCCCAATCTCAAAACCCTAATTCCGTCTATGCTCTCATTTCTTCGTTTTTTTCCGGGGAATACTTTTGTGATCAGCGATTCACTGTTTCCGATTTGACATTGTGGATTTCGCACTGTGAATACTTGAATTTTCGATATGTTTTCCGATTGCCTTTCTGTTATTGAACCATCGGAAAAAATATCGACAGTTCAATTACTCACTATAGATTCATCTGGTTTCCTTTACAGTTAGATTATTCGAAATTGATCTGAAAGATTGAGTCTTTAGAGAAATTTACGATTTTGATTTGTTTGCTTGGCTTGGAAAAAATATTGATTAGCTTAGTGAACAGAAAGATTAAGTTTTTGATCGGGAATATGTTCAATATGAACCAGAATTAGTTAAATTGTCAACCTTTTTTTGCTTGGCTTGGAAAAAGTATTGATTATATTAATTTTGTGATCGGGAATATGTTTCAATGTGAACTAGAATTAGATAAATTGTCAATCTTTTCTTGCTTGCGCCACTGTTACTTATCACAGTATGAGTGTGGTGCTGAAGTTGGTGTTAAGAGATAAGGGTTTCAAGTATGGTTGCCTTTGCTTTCTTTTTAAAATCTTTTTAATGAGCAATCATTTCAGATTCTTACTTGTATATCTCTTTTTATTCAGGAAATAATGATTGACTACAGTCAGAAGAGTTGTCCATTGTGCACGAAGGACTACAGTGAGCTTCTCGCTGGCCAGAAATTGAAGCCTTGCCAATGTGATTAATGGGTTTATCTTGGATGGTAAAGTACTGAAGTAAGTCACTCCGACGATAGGTAAATCATTTTGTTTGAAACAACTATTGTCACTGACTTCATGATTTACATACTGCAGGGCATATTTTGGGAAAAACAACTATTGTCATGCATGGATAAGAAATGGGGTATGTCCTATCGGCACTCTTGTTCTAACTCTATGGATCTCAGAATATTTTCTTTTTATACTTTCCTCTCTTCAGTTGGAATTGGCAAATGGCGTAATTTGGGTATGGATTGTTTGTTTATGTTATCAGGCATGCACCAATCCTGATTGCCTCTATCTGCATGAAATTTGCTCCCTAGAAGATAGTTTTACCAAAGATAAGGTCATATCAGTTCAGAAAATCACAGGAACATCAAATGCTCTGCAATACTGTTCAGGGAGCATGCTACCTCCACCGTTGGATGGTTATTGCAGTGACAGTTCTACTATAAAATTTCCTTCTACGGTAAGCTCTATTAAGTTTCTACTCTACCTTAATATATAAGGTGCTAATTGGCTTGCATCATTTGCTTCAGGGAAACTTAAGATATTGCATTCTGATCTCCTGTGGCCATAGTTAAGAGTGATACATGGATAAATGCATCGTCATATTGCTCACAGTGTAAACTTGACTGGATTGTGTGTAGCATTCCGTAGAAACTTATCTCCTATAGCTACTAAATACGTGCATGTGTTTTCTTATACAGTTTAACCTTTTCTGTGGCCTCTTGTATTACAACAATGCTGTCTGAGATTAATGTTTATTTCTCACTTCATATCTGTTGGTGCAGACTAAGAGTACTAGGGATGAAGGTCCTGGTGCTCCTGCGGATATTGGTTCTCACTGTGATCAAGGTTCTATTAGACGGCGTGGTAACAATGTACCAAACACTGATGCGGAAGCTGACATAGCGCAGAATGGGAATCCTGGTTTAAGGCCAGAGTGGGATTGGAGATCTCAGATGCCAGTGAACTCAACGTTAAATAAAAGTAATTGGAGTGAGCTTGCAGAGGCCAATAGCTACGTGGCTAAATTACTTGACGAGAGTGATCGTAAAGCCAGTACTCTGGAGCCTTCTAACCTGTTACAGCAACAGAATGACCAGTCCAGATTCTCTTTTCCTCGGCATGAAAAATCAAATAATCAAGCGTGTGACTATAATAACACCTACTGCATGTATGGGCAGAGGTCAAGAGATCAGTCTACTCTGGAGTTTGGACAGAGTCAAAATGGTTTTGCTTCAAATTTGTCTGGCGGATATGAACAGTTTGCTGCGAGTCCTGGTTAGTATATATCATAGCTTCTTGTAGTTTTTTTCTTTGCAATTTAAAATTGACAAGTAAATTTATTAAGACCATTGCTGCAGCGTTGAGGTCCCAAGTTTCTGCTCCTCCTGGATTTTCTGTCCCCAGCACCAGCAGATTACCTCCTCCCGGTTTCTCTTCACATGAAACATCTGATATTGCATCAGGTATTATATTACACTCTTACCAATGGTAGGTTTTATATTTGCATAGGCTGATACTTGTAACACATATTTTTGCAGGAACTCGTTTGCTCGACTCATCCTCCGTTTTAAGGAACGCATATCATGCACCGCCTCCAAGTAGCAATTTGAATACTGGAGGAGACGTTGAGTTTATGGATCCTGCAGTTTTAAGTGTTGGAAGAGGAATATTTCACAATGGGATGGAAACTGCAGACTTTGATATGAGCTCAAGATCAGGGTTCTCTTCTCATCCGAATTCGTTTGAGAACGGTGCGAGACTTCAGTCGTTGGCGCAGAGGTCTCTGGCTGCACAACAAGTCAATGGGTTTCATGATCCCAGGAACGTTAACAACATCTCTCCTTCACTCTTTGATCCATATGAAAACAGTTTGAGGCTAATGGATCAAACACAAGGAACTAGGTTTTCTTCTCTCACGCGGCTGCCTAGACAAGCCTCACTAAATCCATTATTCTCGAATGGACGGTGGGATCAGTGGAATGAAACACAAAGTGGTAACAACACTCTTGGGATGACCCAGCTTCAAGACAACGTGTACAGCCGTCTTGAAGAACCTAGGTTTCCGAGGCCTGGTCCTGGAGATCCGTACAACAGAACATAGAGCATGTGATGCTCAGAATTTTTAAGACCGTCTCAAAAGAAGAAGGATTGTTTGATTTAATTGGCTGATTCTAGTTTTGGAAAAAAATCTTAGTATAGACATCTGGTTCTTCGCTGCCTCATCAGTATAGACAATGATAAGCTGTATATTGTAAAGTGCTTACCATAGTTTCTCTTATATTCAGCATTATATACAGACCTTACCATGTTGTGTTGTAGCAAACATTTGAATGCTTCAGTGCACAAAGCTGATTCAATAGATGAGGTCCAATTTTTGCATACTACAAAAGGCTGAATTATTATTATCAAACTCTAATGTATGCTCTTTGTATAAAGCTTGATCCTTTCTAGTCTTTGTATAAAGCTTCCCCATGTCTTTGATGATTTTGTACATGGGTTTGAATCAACCGGAGAAGTTATCTGAGGTTGTTGATGAGATGAGAGAGAGGTGTATTCGTCCTGATGATCGCAGTTACAGTATCTTGCTGAAGAGTAAACAAGAAACAGGGGATATTCAAGATTCTAAGCTTCTTGTTTTTCTTGATAAAGTTTGATATGCTTCTGCACGATCTGTTGGTTGATTACTTAAATCCTCATTCTTATTTATTTATAAAGAAAGTTACAAACACGCGAGTATTTGGAACACATACACTAGTTTAGACCTCATACACATGATTTAAGACCTGAAATCTATATAACACTAGTTTACGACTCAGCTCACAGTACATTCTCTTTCTGAAGACTCATCATCGCCGGCGGCGACCAACCCTGAAATCAACTGAGCTTCATTTCCATCATCACTGTCATCATTCTCCGCTAAAATGTATCTTCTCTCTGTAAAAGCCGATGTCTGACGTCTCTGTAGCCGGAGAACATGCATGATTACGTCAGGAGTGAGCGTCACCCTCGAATGGTCTTCTCTTCCCACCTTGTTCGATTCCATCACCTGCAATTTCTCACAAAACACAGCTTCAGTGGTCTTTGTGATGTGACGTCTCTCAAAATTAAACATTGGTTGAGAGGAGATGTGATTTTACCTTTTCGACGCTTTCAGGGAGAGAAAGAACATCGCTTGACATCGGCGTCCAGAGCTTAACGCTCTTCTCAATCCCACAAGACGCAAGAACCGGTATGTGTGGGTGAGACTCGAGCTGATTCACCACTCGCCTATCACCAACCATTGCTCGCACAAGCTTACCTCCTTTCTTCTTCCACATAAAGATGTGACCGCAGTCCGAACCACTCATCACGTATTCATCATTTGGACCGAAAAAGCTCACTCCTTTAACCGTCTGTGCGTTCCTGTGCCCTGTGTACACCTGTGGGTCTCCAATCTCTTGCAGTTTCTCAGCAGAGACACCAACAGGCGTCGAACCGTAACCCATGTTCTTCTCAAACAGATACACGTGTTCGTCGTTGTAAGAGACAAGTAGCTCTCCGGCTTTGGAATACGCCAATCCTGTGATGTGGACGCTGCAGGTTTCCCGGAGATGACGAGGGCAGAAAGTGTTGACAGGCGCGTCTGGTAAGACGTGACGACACACTGGAGCTAGTTGTCCTCTTCTAGTGTCGAAGACTCTTGCGTACTCATCAGAACCACCTACGGCAAGATAATGTGTGTTCCTCGGATCTATTGCAATGGAGTTGAGTCTTATTCTACTGCTGGAGTGATGTCTCCTGCAGCCTTGTGCGAACGGCGAGGCATACAAAACCATAGCGGCGCTGTTGCTTCGTATATCAAACTGCCCCAAATACAAAAAAACAAAAAACAACCTCAAGTTTCAGAATTTGAGTTTGAAAAAGGAAAACATATCTAGAAGCTAAAGGAGCTTAATAGAGATATAGAGTTAGAGACCAACATGTTGAACAAAACCATCTTCACCGCAGCTGTAGAATACGTTTGGATCTCCAGGCAAAACAGCGAGCTTGTACACGCGACCGTGGTGCCTCCCTAACCGTTTTGTCTCCACTTTACCATTTTCTAGGATCTGACCAAGTCTTACCTGCCAAATGGAATGATTTTGAATGATTTAGCATACTAATCTTAAAGCTTTTGTGCACCCAGACTCTTCTTTGAGAAGACAACTAAATATCTCATATGATTGCATAAATTGTGAAACATTTGAACAGTACATACTTGTCCATCAGCGCCAGATGTTATGATTGTCATGTCATCAGTGAAAGGTATGAACTTAGTCTGGAACACATTTTCACAGTGGCCAGAGGGATACGACAATGTCATGCTTCCATGCAACCAGTTCCAGAGCTTGATTTGTCGGTCATCGGAACCGGAAACAAGAATATCGCCGGTGGAATTGAACTCCACGGCATTCACACATCCCTCATGCCCATCTAACTTGCCGTAAAGGTCCAGTTTCTTCACTATCCCCTGAAGTAGCAAAAAGCAATACACTTCAGTGCTAAAAACTTAATTTGAGTCCTTTAATTGACAAAAAATCGTACAAAAGCAAAACACAGTGCGCTTTGGACTGGTTTAGATTCTCTCAGGTTTTTTTTTTTTGGTAAAAAGATTCTCTCAGGTTGTCTAAAACATCATCGTTCTCTGAAAATTAGAAACTTGCTAAAGTAACAAATTAGAAGCTCGAATCAAACGCGTTTCGACTTCAACACAAGACCTCTCACCTGGAAATGACCTTACCATTACTTAACTTCGTTTCAGTGAACACTAACTAAGATCCAAGATTCGAGATACAAATCCCAGAAATGTGAAAACTTTCTGATAATTATGGCATAACCAACCAAAAGCCACAATTTTTATACGAATTCCAAACAGAAAGAAGACAAATTTAACTCTCCCCGAGTTGCCAAAGTCTCATCCGAAAACGGAAACAAGTAAAGAGAGAGTGAGAGCAGTGAGGGGAGAAAAATGAGAACCTCAGAAGCGGAGATTCGACGAGAGACGGACCTAGGATGAGAGAAACCAATCTCCTTACTGAACATCTCCGTGAACCCATCATCGATCCTTGCGTTACGTTTTGCCATTGTAGAAGTCAAGTGTCAAGTTCCTAAAAGCTTTTGGCTTTTGGATTTGTAATAAGTCGTGATTCTTTGTATGACACGAACATCGTGTCGTCTAGAGCGAGAGGAATGTAAAAACCTTCTGCTTTATTCACTCAAAAACGGCATACGTGTGCATCAGAAAGTTGAGAACCTCGTACGTTTTGTTCACATCAAACGGCACCGTCTACACTAAGACAGGCTATAGGGAAATATCCATTGGGCTTGAGATTAGGCCCAATTTAGACCGTTAGATTGTCTCGAGCGTATATGACACGCGCTAATTATCTTTTCTTTTTTTTGGCTTAAGGATTTGTTTACTCACCCGCTAATTTTCTTCTTTCTCAAGAATATTTAACATTCTCTGCCAATACCATCACATGGATACTTTAACTGACTTAAGAAAAAATTGAAATAAACACTTTACAATGTGAAAAATATGTTTGTATTTCATTCTTCATCTACTTTCAAAAATTGTTGGTAGATTAATCAAGAAATGTATCCTACTAAGCTAATGAATTATTTAAAAAAACATGGCATAGATGCCTTCGAAAACTAGCTAGATAAATAAACTCTCCAAAAAGTGATCTTAATAAACCATTTTTTTACCAAAATCATAAGTAGTTTTTTTTTTTTAGAAAGGTTGTAAAATCAGAAGTGGTTTACAGAGAAGTATACAGTATTTATCCAAAAAAAAAAAAAAAAAAAAAAAAAAAAAAAAAAAAAGAAGAGAGAAGTATACTGTATTTACTGTTCGTAAAGACAAAACTTGTTTTAAAATGAACGAAGTGCGAAACCTTATAAGTTCGAAATCAGAGACTAACGGATCATTATGATTTATGATCATATTCATACAAGGATCCACAAATTGTATGGCCAGAACAAAAAAATAAAATAAAGAATAAACATAAACAATGTCAGGAAAGTGAAACGAGCTAAAGCAACAGAAAAAAAAAAGAATATATATATATATATATATGAATAAATAAATAAATAAAATAGCGTTGCATGGGAATCTAGGCGTTGATGCTTTGCTTGAAGATGGAGGTAAGAATAGATGCAGGTCGCTTTGAAAATTGCGCCTCAAATCTCCCGTCCGATCCTCAATTTGTTTTTTTATTCATAACAACTGATCTCCTACTTGAATTTTTTACCTTTTTTATAATGTTATACTAGAACTTGAAAAAAGAACGAAAATCAACCATTTTTTAGAGTTAATGATATTATATTAGCCAAGAAAGGAGAGAAACTATAGATGATGAAAACAAAAAGAAGAAGATGATCAAACTTCCTCATCATCTGAAAAAAGATGTCACCATTTTCATGATCGTTTATTACAAAACAGTAACAAAAAGAGGAGTGAAGAAGCGATGTCGCAGCACCTGACGGGGTTTTATTTGGATTTATGAACGATAGTTATTCGTTACTACGAGAACCATAAAATGATCAATCCACTAACGAAGATTTTGGTAGGTACAAGACAAAACTTTAAAATAAATAAATATTTGAGAATAAGAGGAAAATCGAAAGTGGGTTGGTCTGAGTTTTGAAACCTGACTGAGACCACATGATCTCAAATCTCTCAGCGGCCTATGGGATCCCCACTTTTGTTTCTTTGTCTCTTTCCTCGTTTTCTTCAAAGATTCTTCTTCTTTCGTCATGTGTCGTCTTTGTAGCCACCATGCGAGTGATCTCATCTTATCTTACTCGCGGACCAATCACTTTGTTTTCTCTCCTTTATTGGAAATTTGAAATTAGGGTTAGTTTCATGGCAAGTCAGTTGTTTAACGCTTGTTCATCAACTGATCCTTAATCAAACAAAATCCACACTGATATCAATATTGTAAAAGCCCTATATTTTCTCCCGCATCATAAAAAAAAAATTGTATTTCCGATTTTTTCCTCTTCTAATTATACAACTTAATGAAATAATTGTATTTTGTGTGAATCATTGAAAATGAAATATATTGTAATACGATAATATATTTCTTATCAACTGAAAGAAGATTACATACATTCGATTACAATATCTCAAAAGAGATAGGAAATGATCATCATTAGTTGGATTAAACTTGGGAGCCACAAGGAGGGTCCGACTGGAAAATAATGATCACCATTCCTTACTCGGACACCAATCATTGTTTGTGAATCACCAATTTAGTGGTAGAAAATGACAGGCTGATAATAACATTATTTGCCTTAACTCTAAATAAAAGAAAAAAAAAATCAAATTTTAAGCACTACATTTATTCACCTTAATATGCAAAGTGTCTGAAAATATATATACTCAAGGTTATTTGGTTTGCATTTGCAGTAAAAACAACATGACAAACTTTCAAGTTTTGATATTTATTTTATTTTTGAAGTTTTGAACTTTACTTGTATAGTCCGTGCATAAATTACATAGCCGGTGCATGATCTCGATCGTTATCACTAGAACTTTGGCAACGAAGATTGGGATATCCAAACCCAAAATAATAACCAGTCAAATTAACGTGATCATTTGTTCCAAAAAAAAAAGAAGAAGAACGTGATCATAATACTTTCATTATATATACTCCCAATAATTTTACGAATTTATTTTGGATAGAGTGTGTTAAAATACGACGTTATTAACTTATTATATACAACCTGGAGTACCAAAAGAAATTATGAGATTAATGAGATGCTAAATCTGTTTACTAATCGTTCTTTACTCACAAAAACTACCGGTCAAAAATATCATAGTATACTAAGATCATTTATGTAATATAATTATAATATTATGTATTCGGCTGTGTGGATATGGCCATGGGTGATCCATACATGTCTTTTAGACCAAATCTTGGTCTTCATGTAAGTCCCTTTTTTACGAAAATCGATGTTTATGTCTCTACTAACTTTAACTGCTAGGGATATCATGGGCTACACATTGTCCAGCCAAATCTCTGCTTTTGCATGGTCGTTTGTTCCCGTCAGAATGCTATATTTTTAATTAAAACTTAAAAATAAAACAAAAATTATTTTCTTCAACAAAAAACTTGAGGATGTGTTTTTTTCCCTTGCGACTATGTTATTATACTTGAATTAGTGTTGTTTACACTTTACATTAACAATATCCGATTAAACAAAGTAACCAAGTGCTGGCTACCTCGAGGAATGTTTTCAGCCTAGTTGATTAACATTTAAAATAACAATAACAATAACAAATTAACAATAACAATAACAATAACAATACAAGAGCATTTTGAGCAAGATAAAGCTTGGTATATGCGCAATATAATATGAAAATATATAAAATAATAATTTAATTAAACCTAAATAAGTACATATGCAATAGTTTTTTCAAATCCAACTATGCTAGCTAGGCAGCACAAATAACGCATCAATTTACTTCGTGATATCTAAATGACAAAAGTCTCACTCCCTCAAAGAACATTTTGGAGAATGATATTAAACTTAACACAGCAACAAAACAAAATTTAACAATAAGGAAAAGCTTAGGGAAAGAAGAATATACTTATTACTACAATTAGGACCAGCTTGCAAGAGTGGGATCCATGTGAGAGTAGAAACTTTGACTCAATTTTAGAAGATGAGGGTAGGTCCCACGTGGTGACGACAACTCAGACTGAAGAATATTGTAACACAAAAGAAGACACATGGAGATGGGTGCCTGAGAATGGACGTCGTACAAGTACAATCAACACCATTTCTGATCCATCATCGATCGTACGGCCCTCGGTCACACCTCTCATCATTTTAGTAGGTAAATTTTTATCTATTTTTGTTTGGGACTAACCGCTGATAATTATCATATTATAACTATAACAATTTACGGTACAGAAAAATCAATTTAGATATGTTCTTGACAATGCAATCTGAATTTAAAATATAGTATAAGAATGTTCATATAAAAAATTGTCCCAAACAAATAATCATATATTCATATACTAATTTCTATCTACCTTTTATTATGAAATTTGACAAAATAAAGTAAGATACATATTTTAATTTTAATTTAAAAAACAACGGATTTGTGGTCTGGTTCACATCTCATGCTCCGAGTTGGATCACGTTATTTTTCACATACCGTAATAAAATTAATTATTAGTATTAAGAAATTAAATAATATAATATTGAGGAGGCGTACCAAACTCTTTCTCCCACATTCTTTCTATATATAGTGAGATAGATGCTTGGCTTTTCTTGTATCTCCACTCTCTATCTCTACTTTTCTCTCTCCTCGCTTTATCTCAAATCTCAAAACTTAATCTCCTCTTCATTTCAAAGAAAGCTTGTGAAATGGAGTATTCTTCGATGCACCAGGTACTATTAATCAAGATCACATTTCAACTAATGATTTTCTGTTAAAGAATTGGGTTTTTATATTCATTTTAAATTTGATTTACGTAGAATGTGGTGGGCGTATCTTCATGTTCATCACAAGATTACCAGAACCAGAAGAAACCATCTCCGTCGACTAGGCCAGCTCCACCGGAGCAATCACTGAGATGCCCTCGCTGCGACTCCACCAACACAAAGTTCTGTTACTACAACAACTACAGTCTCTCTCAGCCTCGCTACTTCTGCAAATCTTGTCGGAGATATTGGACCAAAGGCGGAATCCTTAGAAACATCCCGATCGGTGGAGCTTACCGGAAACACAAACGCTCCTCCTCTTCCGCAACTAAAAGCCTCGGAACAACTCCTGAACCGCCGATGACCTACAACGGAAAAACATTCCCGGCGGCGAGTTTTGGTGGCTATAATAACAGCATTAACAATGAGCAGATGGAGCTTGGGTTAGCATTTGCCTTGCTCAACAAGCAACCTCTAGGGTTTCCTTCCGAATTTGGAAGCTCTCATCAGTCTCCGATGGGCATGAATGGCGTGTTTGGAACCGCGAGCCAGCAGATGGAGAACGCCGGTTATGCGTTTGGGAATGGTGGAAGCGGTCTGGAGCAAATGGCGATAAGTGATCCGAACAGAGCCTTGTGGGGATTCCCTTGGCAGATGAACATGGGAGGAGGAGGAAGTGGTCATGGTCATGTTGATCAGATTGATTCAGGGAGAGAGGTTTGGAACACTACTGTCAACTATATTAATACTGGTGCTTTATTGTAATCTATTTATTATGAATCATTTTCATTAGTTTTGGGTTTGATTAGGGTTTGGATTCTGGTTTTCTTGGTAGAGAAAGGGGATACTTGTGAGACTAATTACTGTGGAAGAAAATAGGCATGTTATGTTGTGCTTTCTTCAGAGATATTTCAATATGATGTGTGTTTTTTTCTTTGAACTGATCTAATTTCTTGGGCACTTTTTTTTTGTAGTTCGCTATGGCTCAAATGAATAATTTACTTGAGTTTTCAAATTTCAGAATTATGTTTACTAATTAAGAATTATTAAAAACCGGATTAAGTAATTTACATATATATGAGTAGTGACTAGCTAGTGATGGATAGACTGATACATGCATGAAGATCTTATATGGCATTGCTAACAATGGTTTAACGATGGATATGTTTCTGATAATAGATATCAATACACAACCTTGCGTGCACTAACATTCATGAACGTGTGGTAAAAAAAAATTAAAAATAAATATATTAAATTTGAAAACGATAATTTACTGACGAGAAGGAAATGCGTAGTTGCATGGTTCACTAGATTTCTACTGTTTTTCCTTCCAAGTTTTGTTTTCGTTTTTTTCTAACTCCGCACAAACTTATCTAAACCGTTTTATTTTCTGTTCCAAAATTATAACAAAATGAACCGACATTGCGAAGAGGAGACGATAGCACTAAGGAATTTCAGACCTAACGTTACCTCTTTGAATATAATAATATACTAAGAGAGAACCCGTGCAATGCGCGGGTTTATTAAACCAAATATTTTTAATTTAATTATTCAGAACATTAGATTCGAATATATCATTTGTTTTTTACTCGAATATATTAGATTCTGTAAGTTTTGCATTTTGTTTTTTTTCATATAGTTTTAAAATTTAGTTGTTATTTACGTGAAATCTTATATAGACTCATAGTGAATAGTTTCATATGTTTTTTGTTCTTTTATACAATAATTTATCGACTGGAGTTGAGTTCTTCTAATTTTCCTTATACTAACAATCATTATAGATTGATTATTATCCTACAGACTCATAGATAATAATAATTGCAATCCTTTTTAAAAGGAAATGAAATGAGCTAATTAGCCAGTAAGCCCATTTAAAGCTACCATGGAAACGAAGAGGTCCGATAAATAATCAAGCCCATCAAAACGAACACATTACACATACGAAAACGACGTCGTTTTGGTGTAAGACGAAAAAAAAAAGATAAAGCGCAAAACGACGTCGTTTTGGTGTAAGACGAAAAAAAAAAAAAAAAATAAAGCCAAAACGACGTCGTTTTGGTGTTAGGCGAAAAAAAAAAAAGAGAGTGCCACGTGTCAAAGGCTGGAGATTGTCCAAGCCTTATTAGTTATGTTGATTAAGCGTGTTATCTATTTACAAGAAATATCTGTGTCGGTTGGTAATTTGCTAATTTGCTTTACCGACATAAACACATGCTTAATTGTGCGTTTATATATGTTTAGTCTCTCTAATGGTTTAATTTGTCTCTACAATTTTTGCTCAGTGAAAATGGGTTTAAAAAGTGTACAAATGCGTATAGGTGTGTTGTCATACATAATATATCTATATTGGATATAAAATATTGATAACAACATATATAACGATATTTAATTATGTACACTAGATGAAAGTATGAAACAATCATTTAAACATATAGTACACGATTAAAATGTATAACGAATAGTATTCAAATTTTTTATGCGTTTGTGGTTGTTGGTTTGTGACTTTGTGTATGATCAGTTCTCAACAACTAAAAGTGTCGCCTTGATATTTTGGTTTCTTTTTGTCTACGATTTAAACTTCGGATTCTTCGTACGTATAAAACTTTTTATCTTTTTTTTTTTGGTTTTAAAAACTTTTTATCTTTATCTCAACTGCCAAACAATTGGACTAAAGTGCTTCGACAAATATAGATCTTTGATTAAAGCATTATTCTCTCGAACCAAAACAAAATGTTTGATTAACCGTAGGCTTGGGTTTGTGTATTTCCCGAAGGTTCTTTTGATGTTATTTTAGAACCTTTTCAGTAGATATTCGGAATATATCGCATTACTAGGCATATAAGCCTTATATCATTGCTTTTGTCTGTGGTCTTAAATCACGATGATAGATGTATGTATACTAATATAATATACGATATTGGCGTCTGTGTGTTATAAGTATATATTTATATTCAAAAATATATATTAGCATGAAGTACAGAAACCAAATCCAATTGGAAGATTCTGGCGTGACAAAATCCTCATCAGAATTGAACAAACCGCCAAACTCATCTCTTTACCTCATTGGAAACAACTGCCAAACTCACCTTTTTATTAATATGTATGATATTTTAAATAAACAAATCCCAGAGAAGGGTTTGATTTGAGGATCTAGCCATCATGTAACACCATTGAAGTTCACGTGTTTGGTTAGGTAAATTTATGTCGTAAGCTCTAGTGTGTTTGATGTGTTCCATCACAAATTGCTATACGTGCAAAATGCGCTTGTTCTTTGTGCGCTAAATTCACATCGAAGTTTACTAAACTATTTATGAATTCGAAATTCACGTGTCACGTCTGATTGGTTAGTATTTAACGGCTGAAATTTTGTCCGACATAAAATATGTGTTCTTTCTTAAAGATTCACATGAAACGTGTAAATAATGCACTTGCTACTGATATTGGTCCTTAATTTGGACTGAATTATATTTTATTCAGAGGAAAATTCTGGAGTTTGACGGTCAAATTCCATATGCAGTTTTGTTCTGGGGAATTTTGGCATTTTGTTTCTTCTATGTATACAATTTCTTTTTCTTTGTTACCCTTCATTTTGTTTTTGAATTGGCGATCAATGTTTTAACTTTGAAAGCAATCAGGAATTCCGCTGGACGATCTTCTGAAACTCAAATGAGTTTTTTAGGTAATTCATGTACAATATAATAACATTAAAAAAAATTCTATTTAATTTAGTAAGTCAAACTTATACAAACGATAGTGGCTACTCGGTAAACTACCTCCACTACTTATTATTCCTAAGAAAAATACTAATATATGAATCATACTGATACTTATATAATATTAATCAAGTAAAACATTTCATGGAAGAACTACGAGCATAGTATACTCTCAACAGTCAACACTAATGTTTAATCAAAATATTAAAACTGCATTTACAAATAAGACTTAGCCAGCCAAGAATCTGTTAGATGTCAAACACACACAGCTTCAATTATCATTATCTGTGTAGCCCATTGGGCCTTCACCCAAGAGAACGAGAGGCAAATAATATTTCTGAACTGGCTTTAACCGGAACAGAACCCATAATAGTCAGCAATAGCATCTCCGTTTGGTCCTAATGTCCTATGAAACTCTGGTCTTTGTCGTTAACTTCAAAGTTCAAACCAACGAAACTCAAATCCATGATTCTTCCGTTTCTTAATTATAGGCCCATGTAACATTACCTACTTATATAATTTATATAGGTTACTAACGCACTACTTTAAAGATTTCTTCTACAGAACGCCGCCGATCTTATGGAGCACATTCCCATATTTTGTATTCGTTAATATTTTTATAAAATCTGAAATACAGCTAATTTTTTTGGTTTCCATGATATTTTCAGTGATTATAGTAAACCTACTGGGTCTAATCCCAACCTCAGTTGATATAGTTTCATTTTCCAACACCAAAAACAAAAAAAAATCACACTTACAATTTGATACCTAACACAATTTGTTCACACTTACAATTTCGTCTTCTTGATCACCATGAAGGATAGCTTGGCAAAATTATATATGACTTATTTGGTTCCCATCCTCGTGCCATACCTCTCTGAGGGCAGTCCATGCTAAGTTTTTTTTTTTTTTTTTTTTTTTAGTCCATGCTAAGTTATTTTTATTGGTAATCGAAATTCAATAGCGGATCGCTAAAGTAATGTACAAATACATGTATTTAGCGGCCATGCCTGCATATGCATGTATTAGTTTATATAGCTAGGTATAGCAATTTATCAAACTGACTTCTAATTTAGGAGATGGACGTTATGACAAACCCGCTTTTGTTTTCATGTATTGCCATGCAAATTGAATTAAAACTAATAATTTACAAAGACTGGGGGAAAAAGGAATCGATTCCTTGTACTTGTATTGCCTCATTATTCCCCTACAAATAGCATCATAATTATTGTCATTATTTTCTTAAATAAGCCAGGAAGTTATGATGCATCTCTCATTTGTAATATTTAATTAGCCAACATTTTGTAGTATATTATCTTTAACAACAACAAAAAAAAAGGCATTTTGTAGTTCAAAATTTTCGTACCATTTCATTATTAAGATGGGATGATTGGAAGTATGTAGAAAATATCAGTACACCAACCCAAGTTACGAAAATGACTTCACGATGAGTAAAAATGTTCAAAAAGCATTAATACGTATGGATTTATCGACGGATTACAAAAACAACATCTTCATAAGATATCACTGGCCTACCGACAGAAGTCACTAATAATATGTGGATTGCAAACGTTCAGAAACCTAATTATTATCTGAAACGTATTATCTTTAACCCAATATAAGAATTTTGATTATATGACCGTTTAGTTTTGTCATGGTGACCTTAAAACTGTTTAATATTCAATAAAATTATTAAAAAATTCTCTCAACCTTATAGATTCAAGTATCTGTCTCGCAAGTGACGACAAAAAAGAGAGAAAAATTAGTCAAGTGAAAATAACACACTAACCAATTACGAAATTAATGGGGATGCTTCTGTCTTTAATTCGACACGTGTCCAAGCATGTGCACATATGTAAACCCATTTCGTTTTCATCAACATCATCGAGACATCACCTCTTCTTTAGCGCTCTCTGCATTCACAGTCTCTGCACAAGAAACAGCGCTAACAAAAAAAAAGAACACTTTACAAAAAAAAGAGCTATGAGGTCAGCCAACCATCTAATAGGCATGGTCAACTTCCTCACCTTTTTGCTCTCAGTCCCAATCCTCGGCGGAGGAATATGGCTAAGCAGCCGAGCCAACTCCACCGACTGTTTGCGATTCCTCCAGTGGCCACTAATCGTCATCGGAATCTCAATCATGGTCGTGTCACTCGCCGGAATCGCCGGAGCTTGTTACAGTAACAAGTTTCTCATGTGGCTGTACCTCGTCGCCATGTTCCTCATCATCGCCGCCTTGATCGGATTCATCATCTTTGCGTACGCCGTCACAGACAAAGGATCCGGTCGAACCGTGCTAAACCGGGGTTATCTCGACTATTATCTTCAGGATTATTCCGGTTGGTTGAAAGATCGGGTCTCTGATGACGGTTATTGGGGGAAAATCAGCTCGTGTATTAGAGATTCCGGAGCTTGTAGGAGGATCGGAAGGAATTTTAACGGCGTCCCTGAAAGTGCTGATATGTTCTTCCAAAGAAAGCTTCACCCTGTAGAGGTAACTTTTTCTTTCTTGAAATAAAATCTTGAAAAGTGGGAAGAAAAAAAGTCAAAAATTGTTCTCTTGATTTTTAGTTTCTCTTGACTGGTAACTCTTTTTGGTTAATTTTTGGAGTCAAATCCTAATTCAAACACTAAAATTGTTCAGATTCTGGGATATTCAGATTCAGATGTTCTTGAAAAGTTTTATTTTTGGGGATAAGCTTTAAATAATTATTTTATTGAATCATAATTTTGGTTGTCCGTGTCTTTAATGACCACCGGCCATATGACGAGAGAGTCTCAATTATTGTAAGATAATTAAAAAGAATCTATGTTCAAACTGAAGAAAACTTTGGGTTTACTGTTTTTACAATTAACTTAGTTGACTATTGAGTATGGAGTCTATAGATCTGATTCAGCTTTGCCTCAACCTCACTCCAACAAAAACAAAGTTCAATAATAAACTGATTTGTTTTCTTCCATTTTTATATAAATGTTAAATTTATTGTAATTTATTCGAGCTGATTGATTGATTGTTTGTGTGTAGCCATAAATGAAACAAATTTTAAACATATAAAAAGGTATGATTACCTGAACAATGATTATTGGCCAGAGTCCAGAGAGATACTCTGCAATTTTGCTGGCCTTTACACTGCTGTTCATATACGTCAAATCTAATTTTGTCGCCTGCAGCCACCCAGAAAAGTATAAAACAATAAATGATTTGGTGTATCTTTGTATTTTTTTTTTTCCTATTAATTTTCGACATATTTATGCCCAAAATTCCAAGCTTTATAAAACCAACAAGATAAAATTCCAAGCTTTACACGTGAGTAACCAAAACAATGATGAATATGCATGGAAAGTTCGAAAGGCTAGTTGTTCAACTCCTTGTTTTGTCATAAATCATTAATATTGAATGCTTTCTTTTCTTTGTTTCACAAAAGATACTTCTACTCTTTTTTCTTGGCGTAGAATAACAGATGTATTAGCATATTGAGCTATATACGGCTTAAGCTTTGTTATGTTAAACTGCGGATTATGATATGTAATTATTGTTTTAATCGCAGTCCGGGTGTTGCAAGCCGCCATCAGATTGTGGGTTTACGTACGGTAACGAGACTTGGTGGGGACAAGGAGGAGGGATGATGATAGGACCAAACCCGGACTGTACGTTGTGGAACAACGACCAGAGCATGCTCTGTTATCAATGCAGCTCTTGCAAAGCCGGTATTCTTGGGAGCTTGAAGAAGAGCTGGAGGAAAGTGTCGGTCATCAACATCGTGGTGCTCATCATTCTCGTCATCTTCTACGTGATCGCTTACGCTGCTTATCGGAATGTCAAGAGGATTGGTAACGATGAACCGGCCGGTGAAGCTAGGATGACCAAATCACATCCTAGCCATTTCCATCTTTAATTAATCAAAGTCTTAATGTTACAGTTTGATTATTAATGTTTTCACTTTGCTTTTGTAACATTTGAGCTTTGTTAGTACTTTATATTTGGGTATGTAACACATTTTTTTCTTTGTGTGTATATTATTAATGTTTGGAATGTTAAATTTTCTTATTACAAAAACAACTTTGAATCCAAAGTATTTGAAAAGAGTCATAAGCTTAAATCATGTTCACGGTTAAGTTCTGGGCTCCATCTACGCACTGTAACCTCTTCCACCGTGTAGTCTTCTAAACACAAAGGTAGATTCATATCCTCTCTGTTTACTTCTTCTCCATTGATGTAAAGAACCAATAGAGTTTTCGCGACGCTTCCGGTTAGCCGAACACTGCAATGGGAATCGGACCAGACTCTTAACCGGTCATTCCCGTCAACGGACTTAACCAGAACCGCGAATTCAGAGTGGACAAGAGACGGATGGTGTCGATACACCACGAAATCAACTCCATATTGTAACCCTGGTCTCACAATCCAGTTCTTTAGCCGTAGGTGCGAGTAAGCCTTGTAAGACGTAGCAAAGTTTGGCTTAATAGATCTTACGAATCGCCATAACTCTACCTCGTTCTCTAAGCGACGACCATGGAGGGAAATCTTGATGCAGTTTAGATTGTAGAACAAGAAGAAAGCTTCTTCGAAAGTTAGTTGGATCCATCTCTTGTCTTCTTTCTCGGCACAAGCAACGACGGGCCTACCGAAACAAGAACGGTCCAAAAGCTCAGCTTGCTCTGCCTCAACGGAGAGAAGGACGTTGTGATTCGAGAGCAAACCGGATGCCTCGGTTCGGGTCAAAGAAGATTGGAGAATCGAGACTGTTTTCGAAATCGGTTCTGCAAGCGCCTTTGCTTCAGCACCTTTCCACTTCCACCTTGGTGACATGGAGATGAGGTCCTAGATATAAAAAGATCAACCTTTCATAAAATTTTCGAACAAAACAAGAATGTTAAAGCTGCTTAGTCTTAATTTTCAAACACAAACATACAAAGTTGTTTAGTTAATACAAGACAAGAACTCTTTCAGGCATTTCGTCGAACAACATCCGTTCACTATGAAATTTCACTAGCAAGTTCCAAAATTGAAGTTAGAAAACTATTCAAACAGATGGACACTCTAAATTACTGATTCAAGAGAAAAAAATTCCAGAAATTTCAGTGAAAGAGGAAAACTTTAGGGGGAATTCACAAACAGAGTCATGCAAAACAGATTCAAAAGTATAGACAGTACCTTTGATTCTGTTTGTTATTAACACACGATCGTTGAAAATTATCCAAATGAACTTCTAAGCTTCAAAACTGAGAGATTCTGCGTTTTTGATTTCGACAAGATCCATGAAACAGAGACGATTGGATTTTGACTGTATTTTGTCGAAATGAAAACTGTATTTTCTGTCAAAAAACCTAATTCTTTGGACTCGAGCGAGTAAACGCCATCGTTTCGATGTAAATATTAGGTTACGACTTACTTGTAACTGAAGACACCAATAGCGTTTACAGCAAAAGTCAGCTGCAGCCTCACAGCATGACATTTCCTATTGCTTTCTTTACAAGTTACAATCATATATTTTTTTTTAACAAATAATTAATTCAGGATAAGTCGTAGTCAACCAACTCAGCTTTCAAACTCAGCCATGTTATATCCTTACCAAAAAAAAAACTCAGCCATGTTATTTCTCAAATAATATTATAGAGATTGTATAACCAAAAAAAGGGGGAAAGATCTATAGTTTACCCAATTATATTAGTATTAGGATTTTATGGCTTTATAAATATTTAAGGGATTTTTAGGATTTGTATTCATTATTCAAATATTCACTAGTTTGATAAAAAAAAATTCCTAATCTCTGTCTCAGTTCGATTCTCTTTTATTTTTGTTTTAGTTCATCGTTTAGATTCATTCGACTTCACAACAATTTGAAACCTAACGAAGGGGCATCTTATCTACACATAATTATAAAGCGTACGTAGACTCTCGAGGAGTTATATATACACTTTGGAGGAGTTATAAAACGTACGTAGAGCATCCTGTTTTGGTGGCTAGGAAGAAAGAAACTTTATCAAAACATCAGGAGGTTTAATTATGACTGATCAGAAGAAGACTTGCGGTATCTGTTTTGATGATGATATCAACGATTTTCAGATGTTTTCTGTTCCTGGATGCGGTCATCGCTTTTGTTCCCAGTGTGTGAAACGATATATAGAAGTGAGGCTGCTCGAAAGAAGTTTGGTGAGATGTCCACATACTGGCTGCAAGTCTAACTTGAGTTTGGAAATATGTGATTATCTTTTGACACCTAAACTAAGAGCGATGTGGAAACGTAAGAAGAGAGAGGATTCGATTCCTTTGACGCAGAGAATTTACTGTCCAAACCGGAGCTGTTCGGCTTTGATGTCCGAAACCGAGCTTTATAAACCGAGTGAGGCTGGAGGCAAGAGAATCTGCGTTAAATGTGGTAGACCCTTTTGCATCAGTTGCAAAGTTTCTTGGCACAGTTACTTGTCGTGCAGCTTTTACAAAAGACTACATCCAAATCCTACGTATACGGCAAACGGTGGAAAGCTTAAAGCTCTAGCTAGAAAGGAAGGGTGGCGTCAATGCCGAAAGTGCAAGCACATGATTGAGCTTTCTCAAGGATGCGCCCGCATAACGTGCAGGTAACATCTCTATATCATTTAACCACATTTTTTTTTTCTTTCGAATTTGATAATGTTTAAATTCTTATTAAGGATAATTAAGAATATTGTTTTTTTTTTTAATGGTAGATGTGGACATACGTTTTGCTACAAATGTGGAGCCGACGCTGAAGGCTGCTCTCATGGTCATCTTCAAATGCCACCGTTACCGGATCTACCGCCACCACGGCCACGGATAAGCTGGCCACGGCCACCACGGAAATTATTACTATTTCTTTTGGGGCGTTTATGAGTTTTCCTCGTGGTTTGTTTATTGTTTTCCTCGTGGAGTTTTTTTGTTTCTCAATCAATGTTGTAGTTATTTTCTGCTCAGTTAATTTCTTCATAAGTTAATTTGTGGTTACAAATGAAGAGTTGACAGGGCCGGCCCTGAGCATACGCAGGGTAAGCAATTTTTAGAGATATATTTTTGTTAAATGTTTTCTTAAGGGTGTATAAATATCATTTACAAAGTTTTAACAAGGGCATATTTTAGTTACTTAAATTTTTCTTAAAGGGATATATATTATGTACAAAGTTTTAATAAGAACATATTTTTGTTAATTTTTTTTTAAAAAGGTTTATATATCATGTACGAAGTCTTAAAACCTTTTTTAGTGATATTTATATTTATAGGGCATTTGTTAACAAATACCTTTAGTATGTGTATCATTAAATAATTATTACATTCTAAAGTAAGTGTTTAAGGAAAAAATTAAAACCCTTATCTCGTGAAACAGTTGTGTCACAAAGCCACAATCCAATTCCAATTTCACAAAAACTTGTCCTAGATTTGATATCGATCGAGACAACTATGGTTGAAAAACTCGATTATAAGTTTAATGAATAAATTTGGAGTTCATAATCCAAGGAGAACTATATTTAAGCCATACGAAATCAGTTTTTTTGTTTTTATATATATTTTTCGCAAACTATTTACAAACTGTGGATTGTTTTTTTGTAACTTATTTATTTATGAAGTTTTAAGGTTTGTTTATATATTTTTACTGTTTTTGTGATTTTTGAATTTTCTTTTTTAAAAGGCATATTTTTTTATATGCGAGTAGGGCATTTAAATTCATTGGACCGGCACTGAGAGTTGACGTATTGATATTATTTCAATCATTCGAATGCGTTGATAATGACCTATACAAGCCTAGTTTCGATATTTAGATGTTTCATAGGAACTATTACGTTAGATGTTCCATGGATCAAAGGGAAGGCCGTTACGAGTTACGACAGTTTGAGTTGTTGACAAAACAGCATCGGATTCCACAAATACAAGCTGAGTAATTAAAGATCACAAGTTAAGACAACAACACTCAATAATTTCCGATTAACTTAGAATGATTGGTGATCGACTAAGAAAGTATACTCCTCTAAAATCAAAATATCCCACTTAAAGATAAACATCGACTAACTGTTTGGACAAGCAACATGAACGTTCTCCTCATATCTTCTGGACACTTTTCTGAAGAAAGTCGTGTGATATCTCTGATGTTGAATTACGCAAAGTTGCAAAGGGTTTATTTGTCTGATTTGAAAAAAAAAAAAAAAAAAACAGGTTTGGATGGTTGAGGGAAAAGCTCCATGATGTTTCCTTGATTGCTTGTGAAACACGGGTCGTAAAACTCAAGAAAGAGGTCATCAAACTCGAGCGGATGATGTATTTCTGTTTTAATTGTCTCTCTCACCCTCGATTTTTCTTCCACACTCGAGATTTGGGATACTTGTTATAAGAGAATCTAAAAATCAGCTATAGTTTAGCCTTTTTTTATCGTCAAATTAATAGCTTGCTTAAATGAATATTCGTAAGATCAAAAGAAATCTAAGAGATCAGTAACTAATAAGATTCGATTTGATCTTAGGCATTGCATTGTTTCAGTTTCTTTCACTACGTATATATAGAGAGAGGGAGTTAGTAGGCATCATGACTGAGCATTTCCTATTTACTTCGAGAGGCAGCAATACCAAATTGCTAATTTTTTTTGTTTTTTTGTTTTGTTTACGGTACTTCACGAATGGGGAGTCCACTGGAGACACAAAGTAAAACAAATGGTTTCATTGTTAAACCTTCCCAAGTGCAGTTAGCGACTTGGATTTTTGAGTCATACCCAAAAACCGCAGAGAAAGTTCAATTTCAAAACCAAGAGCTCAGGACAACATGCATGAACCTTCTCTTAAGCATCATTAACATACTTTACCACAAAAAGTGTGATCTCACCGAGTCAGAATTAAACAAAGCATCCAAGGATTTGTCTGATCTGACGCGAGCCGGTTTTAAGCTGGATTGGTTGAAGTCTAAGCATGAAGAGAGGAAGAAACAAGCTCGGATTGTGGAAGACGTTGAAGAAAGGGCCACGAAACTTGAGCTGATGATGCGTGATCTCAAAGTTCATATATATTTTCTCATTTTTTTACATATTATTATCATTATTTTGTTTTTTTTGCTATAAGATAATATTGTAGGTTTTAATATTTAAACAATTAAAAGGCTCAAAACGAAATAAAGTTATCTTATTTTTCACTAATTCCTATATGTATATCAAAACGGAATCTAAAAGATTCACTAATTAGATTCGATTCAATCTCGAAATTTCTAAGTAGTTTCATGTCTTTCGCTGCCTACATAAAGAGAAGAGGCGATACTAATTAAGCATCATCAAGAATAACCCAAACAAGCTTTTTCTAAAAAATCATTATCGGTGTTGCATCTATTGCACTATATATCAGTTCAGAATGCAAATGCAGATGATGGTCAACCAACAGCTTTTTAGGCTTCTTATGAGTAACCATCCACCGGAGAAACCTAGTAAGACAAATGTCAATGGCTTCGTTCTTGAGTCGTCGCAGGCGAATTTAGCCAAGTGGATTTTTCAGACATACCCAGAAACTACAGTGAATGTTCAGTCTCAGAACCCAGAGGTCAGGACACATTATATGAACGTTCTCTTCGGCGTCATGGGGACGATTTACCACAAGAAAACGCCTTATGTCTCTACGGCTGAATTAAGCAAAGCTTCCAAGGGTTTGTCTGATTTGACAAAAGCCGGTTTTAATGTGGAATGGTTGAGGCCATATCTTGAGATGGTTTCCCTGGAGAGGAAGAAACGTAATGCTTATGAAGCTCGGAAAGCTGAGTTGAAAATGGAGAAGGCCAAGTCGAGGAAGCATAGTTCGTTTAGGCTTCTGTTGGGGCGATTCTTCTGCGTAAACCCTAAACCCCCAATTTTTATTGGCCAAGCTAACGATGATTTGTAGGTTTTTGTTTTCTTTTTTAAGTATATGTCACGATAAGAGCTTTGATAGCTTGCCACACACGGTTTTAGCTAGGGCCTTTTGTTGTTTTTTACCTTTTGACTTTTGTTCTTTGATTCTTTCTTCTAACATGTATAAAAGACTTCAATCTAAAATACCCCGACTACTTTTTTCAATCTACAGGAATTTCATGGGATATGAATTGCTGTGTGTAGGCACAACTCAGTCGTCACCACACGATTGCCACATTTTCCAATAAGTAATGAAATTATGGATACTAGACCGAACCAAACAGGAAGCAAACCTAAGAATGACTTTTTATTGTTTCACTAATTCAATAAAATAATATTATAATATCTTTTATTATAAAATAAAAACCATAGAAAACAGAGAAGAATCAGGAAATATTTGATTTACGTACAAAATATGCTTATTTAATTTTTGAAGTATTTGAAATTGACAGATTTACTCTCTAATTATCACTTGCTCAAATTAAATATCTAAGTTGAGCGAATAAAACTGGGATAAAAAATTAAATTTTCAATAATAAAAATAGAACATTAATTAAAACAGTAAGTACATCACATTTCAAAGTTATACCCAACACAAAAATCACTAGATAAATTATCTTATTTACCACTGATTGCCATATGTATATCAAAACAAAATTTAAAAGATTCAGTGATTAGATTCGTTTTAATCTAGTAATTTCTAAGTAATTAATTATAGGTTTTCCGCGGCTTACATAAAGATTACCTAATTAAGCATCATCAAGAATACCTCAAACAAGCTTTTTCTAAAAATTCACTATGGCGTCTGCAGCATTAGGATGGCATGTAATAAGCCAACATAATGCTAGGATTATGAGGAACTATTAATCGGAGAAACCTAGGAAGATAAATGTTAATGGCTTCGTTCTTGAGTCGTCGCAGGCGAATTTAGCCAAGTGGATTTTTCAGACACACCCAGAAACTACAGTGAATGTTAAATCTCAGAACCCAGAGCTCAGGACATATTATATGAACGTTATCTTCGGCGTCATGAGGACAATTGACCACAATAAATCGCGTGATGTTTCTGTTTATGAATTAAGCAACGCTTACAAGGGTTTGTCTGATTTGACACAAGCTGATTTTAAGGTGGAATGGTTGAGGCCAAAGCTTGAGACGGTTTCCTTGAAGATGAAGAATCGTAATGCTTACGAAGCTTGGAAAGCTGAGTTGAAAAAGGAGAAGGCCAAGTTAAAGAAGCATAGTTCCTTAAGGGTTCTTTTGGGAAGATTCTTCTGCTTAAAGACATAAAATCCCCCGACTGTTTTTTTTTTTCATGCGCCAAACTAACGATGATTTGTAGTTTTCTTAATTTTATTTGTTTAAAGTATATATATCGATACGAGCTTTGATAGCTTGCCACACAAGGTTTTAGTTAGGGCTTTTTGTTGAGTTTTTTTTTTTTTTTTTTGGTTTTACCTTTTGTAGAATTGAAACTCAAGTAATGAACTCAAAGATTAAAGAAACTCTTCTTTATTGCTTAAGAAAACTCACTCAAAAACTTAAGCTCTCAATCTCTCAATCTCTAAGCTCATAAGTTATACCACAACTTGGTATCTCCTTATATAGCCACACACATATCCTAATCCTAATGGAGAAACACTTTCTCTAATCCTAAACTCATTAGGACTCCTCAATACAATAGGATTAGGTTTAGCTTGTTACTCAAGCTTTCTTCAAGCTTACTTCAACATTTTCCCCCTTAAGCTTGAAGTCTGTCTTCTCTAGATCTTGAACTCCCATGAGATCTCTCATCTCCTTGAACTTGATTCTTCCCAATGCTTTGGTCAGGATATCCGCCTTTTGTTTTTCTCCGGGAACGTGTTCGACTTCAATTTGCTCATTCTCGACACACTCCCTTATGAAATGATACCGCGTGTGTATATGTTTGCTTCGACCGTGAAACACCGGATTCTTTGTGAGAGCTATTGCAGACTGGTTGTCAATGCGAATAACAACTCTTTCACGCGTTGTACCAGTGATTTCACCAAGCAAGTCTTGGAGCCAAATTGCTTGTCTCGCCGCTTCTGTACCTGCCATAAACTCTGCTTCACACGATGATAATGCAACTGTTTCTTGCTTCTGAGAACACCACGTGATAGGACTTTCACCAAGATAGAATATGTGGCCCGTTGTGCTCTTCCCGTCGTCTGGATCCACATTGTGGCTGCTGTCACTGTAACCTATCAACCTTGGTACCTTTGAAGTAGATCTCTCAAAGGTTAGTCCCAGAGTGGTTGTGCCTTGTAGATACCTTAAACATTGTTTCATGGCAACACCATGAGACTCTTTGGGATTCTGCATGTATCTACTCAACACGCCCACGCTGTAACACAAGTTCGGTCTTGTGTGAAGTAAATATCGTAGGCAGCCAACATTCTTTCTGAACAGGGTGGCGTCAATATCTGTCTCGTCTCCGGCCTTGGACAACTTCAGTCCAGACTCCATTGGTGTGTGAACAGGATTACTGTTCTCCATTCCAGCTTCCTCTAAGATCTTCAACGCATAACGCTTCTGGTTAAGCATTATTCCACCATCGTGTTGTTTCACCTCCATTCCGAGGTAGTATGTTAACTTCCCGAGGTCACTCATGTCAAACTTGGTGGCCATCTCGTCTTTGAACTCATCAATGATCCTTCTGTTAGTTCCTGTAACGAACAAGTCATCAACATACACGGCGATAAGGAGGAGACTATCACCAATAGCCTTGCGATAAACCGATGGTTCCTTTGAGCACTTAACAAACTTAAGTTCCATGAGAATCTGATTCAACTTATTGTTCCACGCCCTTGGTGCCTGCCTCAGACCGTATAGTGCCTTATGGAGCTTATAGACTTTGTTCTCACTCCCTTTTACTTCAAAACCCTCTGGCTGCGAGACATAGACGATTTCTTTTAACTCTCCATGGAGAAAAGCTGTCTTGACATCAAGATGATGTATCTCCCATCCTCTTGATGCAGCAAGACCAATTAGAAACCGTATTGTTTCGAGCCGAGCTACTGGTGCAAACACTTCCTCAAAGTCTATTCCATAACGTTGAACATATCCCTTGGCAACAAGCCTAGCTTTGTGTTTGTTAATGCTTCCATCAGAGTTCCTCTTGAGCTTGAACACCCACTTCAATCCAATTGCCTTAGCACCATGTGGTAACTCCATAAGAGTCCACGTATTGTTTTTCTCGATCGAACGGATCTCATCTTCACACGCGAGCATCCATTCTCCAGATTCTCTTGCTTCATAGAAGTTATTTGGCTCATTGTTCAAGCACAAAAGTAACCTTTCTCCTTCTTCGATCGCAAGTAGCACATAATCTTCAAGATACTTCGGTGTAAACTTTTCTCTTGTCGATCTTCTCAGTTCTACTTCAGGACTCTCCTGTGTCTCTGTATCCTCTGTATCCTCTGTCTCTTCCTCATGCGTCTCTGCGATATTGTAGCTAGGGCTATTCTCAACTTGTTCGTCATTAGAACCTCCAATCATCTTAGTTTCACCATTGAATCTCTCGATTCCATCATTCTCCCATATCTCTTGAATCCCGCGATTTCCAAACTCACCAAATATCACTTTAAACTCTTTGTTATCTCCCTGAGCCGAGTTACTATGACTCCAGTTCCATCCTTTTGATTCATCAAACACCACATCTCGACTTACTATTATCTTTCTTCCTTGTGGCTCAAGTAGTCGGTAAGCTTTGGACCCTGGTTCGGTTCCTAAATGCACAAGGACACGCGATCTGTCGTCTAGCTTCTTGAGTTGAGGCTTCTCCACCTTTGCATAACCAATACACCCGAAAATTCGTATGTGATGAGAATTGGCTTCTTTCCTCTGAACATCTCATATGGAGTAACATCTTTAAGTGTCCTCGTGGCTATTCGGTTTAAGAGATAGGTTGAATGTCGTACTGCTTCTCCCCAGAGATAGTTTGGTACATGCATGTGCTTCATTATACTCCTTGTCATCTCCATCAGAGTCCTATTTCGCCTTTCAACAACGCCGTTTTGTTGAGGAGTATAAGGAGCGGTAAGATGCCTCTTTATACCTGAAGTTTCACAGAACCGAGTAAACTCATGTGATAAGAACTCTCCACCTCTATCTGTCCTGAAGGTCTGAATCCTTGTTCCTGCTTCTTGCTCCACCAAGTTCTTGAAGTTTTTAAACTTTGTAAAAGCTTCACTCTTCTCTTGCATCAGAACTGTCCACATGTACCTGGAGTAGTCGTCTATGAGAACGAATATGTATCGGTTTCCAGCAGCTGTACTTGGAGTTATTGGCCCGCAGAGATCTCCATGAACTAGTTCAAGCTTCTTGCTTGCTCTAAAGGAAGAAGCTTGTGGAAACACTTGCCTTGTCTGCTTCCCAAGTAGACATGCTCCACATATCTTCTTTTCGATATTCACTCTTGGGATTCCTCGTACAACTCCTTTGTCTATCATCGTCTTCAGGTTCTCAAAGTTTAGATGGCCCAACCTCGCATGCCATCTACTAGACTCGCTTGTTTCTGTTAGGTACAGTTGTGCTGTCTCTCTTATTCTCATGTGGACTTTGTATAGCCGATTTTTCTGTTTGCCTTTGCAAGTAGCTTTCCATCACGATCGTGCATCGTCAAACACTCTCCTTGCATTCTTATATCGCACCCTGATTCTGTAGCTTGACCAAGGCTAATGATGTTACTTTTCAAGTCAGGGATGAAGTAGACATCTGTCATCATTCTTGGTTCTCCATTCATGTCAAAGAATGAGATTGTTCCCTTTCCCTTGATGTCTATTCTGGAATCATCTCCAAACCGTACTTTCCCGGTAACAGAGTTGTCCATACTTGAAAAGTATCGTCGATCTCCAGTCATATGATTGCTAGCCCCATTGTCAAGATACCATATATTCTCCTCTCCAGTGTTGGCTTCAAACTTGCTTGGTATACAGTTTTTCTCGTTTAAGTATACCACCTCGTGCATCATAAGCTTATCAGCCTCCTTTGTATCACTAGTATCTTCTTCAGCTTCTTGGAGTTTTAGCAATCTGTCTGGACAATCAATCGCATAGTGTCCGAGCTTGTCACACCTAAAACACTCAACGTTTGACGTGTCCCTCTCTTTGTCTCCGTTTGAGCGACCGCCACGACCACCGCGACCTCTTCCTCTTCCGAACCGTCCTCCACGACCTCTGCCTCTATTACTCTCGCTGTAGTTATATTTTTGACTCGATTGATTCCCTTGACCCTCCATATACATCAATTTGCTTTGATCATCTTGAACCTCATCTTCATCACGGACTCGCTCTTCAAACGCTTTCAAGCGTCCCATGATGTCTTGAAAGCTTGTTTTGTTTAGATCTAGCAGCTGTTCAAGAGATGCTACAATATGTATAAACTTCGCTCTAGGGAGGCTCTTCAGGAACTTCTTGACTAACTTTGGCTCTTCGATGCTTTCTCCTAAAGCAGATGCTTTCGATGCGATCTCAGCTAGTTTTCCACCAAAGTCGTCAATCGTGTCAGTTTCCTTCATTCTTATGCGCTCGAATTCTGACATCAGCGTTTGTAATCTTGCTTCCTTAACCCTATCTGCTCCCATGTTCCTTCCCTTAATCGCTTCCCATACTTTTTTAGCTGATTTTAGTTCACCGACTTGTAAGACAAGCGCTTCTGGTATTGATTGGAAAAGTAACGCTAGAGCCATGTTGTTCTTCTTCTTGTTGCTCGACTCTGCCTCATCTTCATCTTCAATGACATCCCAGACTTCATGGACTGCCAGCGCTACTCTCATTCTCATAGCCCATACGGTATAGTTTGTGGAAGTGAGCATAGGGCATTGGATCGATGTAAGGCTTCCTCCTTCTATCGGTTTTGCTTCAACGATCGCGAGATCGTCTCCAGCCATGTCGCTTCTTATGATCTTCACGACTCAAGCTCTGATACCAATTGTAGAATTGAAACTCAAGTAATGAACTCAAAGATTAAAGAAACTCTTCTTTATTGCTTAAGAAAACTCACTCAAAAACTTAAGCTCTCAATCTCTCAATCTCTAAGCTCATAAGTTATACCACAACTTGGTATCTCCTTATATAGCCACACACATATCCTAATCCTAATGGAGAAACACTTTCTCTAATCCTAAACTCATTAGGACTCCTCAATACAATAGGATTAGGTTTAGCTTGTTACTCAAGCTTTCTTCAAGCTTACTTCAACACCTTTTGTAGTTTTTTTGTTTCTTCTACCATACAGTTTTCTCTTCTCTTTTTTTCTGTTCGTGAAACTTGCATGTACCATAAGAGAAAAAGAAAAGTATTTGAGCAAGAGCTTTAAAGAGCAATTGGTGTAGAAGAAACTCATGACTTTGGGAGATGAGTATCTAGCTAAGGGTCCATTTACGATTTACCGAATCACAGTCGAATCTGTAGCAATCGATGGAGAGAGAAGGTGTCTTGGACGGTCGGACCATACATGCCTCCATCGCTTGGACAAAACGAAGGTTCAGATGGCGAACTTTGTCGGAATCAAAGAGTATATAAGTTGTTGGAGGATCATGTAGAGTACACCGTGATTGAAACTCGTGGTTGTTTGAATTTGCGGTGGCTAAAGTTTTCTACGGCTGTGACGCCGTATCTCTCGGCGATCGTCCGCCATGGACCGTCGATTCATTTCCGTTCTTCTATTTAATTAATGGGCCGAAAACTTATTATCAAAAGATATATTATATATTATTGGGCCGGGCCGAAACAACAACAAAAAAACGAGACACAACATTATTTTTGCCGCCACAATGAGATGAAGCGTTTGACTTTGATCAACATGTATCAGAATTTTATTTGCAACCGGCCAATGTAATTATGTAAATGTAATACACAATTAGGTGACAAAACAAAAACGTTGAATTTCATTTACTTGCATATTTGTTGGATTTCGGTTACCATCACGGATAAAAAATGGAAGTGGTCAACTGAAAAATACAACTAAAAACTCCAAGTATAAATAAGAGCATCTAAATAATATGGAAGAAGCCAAATAGCTGAAATGTGTACAAAGCATTTTGTAAAAGTGCTACTTTTATTATTTGAAATCATTTTATATAGAGTTAAAAGAAAGTTATAGATCGGCCACTGGATTTATAAATTTATATGTGGTTTATATTAATCAGTAATAACAGTAATGAGTTTTTTCATCAGAGAAAATAATAATCTACAATCACAGTAAAAAGAGTGTGTGAACATAATTGGTCCAAATAATCCAAAAAACTCTGCAAAGGTAAAAATCGGGATAATATAGATACCTCATATGAAAAGAAATTTGTTAGAACATAATAAACATTGAAGACATGAGTAATTGTGTCAAATCCCATAAAGAAACACTCCACATTTGGTTTCTTAATTTAAAAAAAAATCTGGACGTTTTGAAATGGTGGTGGAAGGTTAAATGGTTGAAGTAACATTTAAGGTTATGCTGGGAACCCTCACAAACCGCCTCATCACATCTCTTTACTTTGCCCGAAATATGCACCTTGTGATTAATGTGATTAGGAGACACATAAACTGTAAAATCTGTGATGAAACTAGTACCACCTTATTTACGTTTTTTTCTGAGGTGAAATTCTTGAAAAGAGAAATCAATCTTATTTTCTTATCACTATGTCAATGACACGGCTCATTTGCCATCAGAGTTTGATGTAGAAAATCTTAAGACCAATATTAATACTTCTCTTCAAAGTTATAGGAAAAAATTTAACTTGATGAAAATGGAACAAATTTGTGTTGCTTTTGGAGACATGAGGGAAGCTTTTAGGTTCTCTAGTCTGAAAGCACAAGGATTCAAGCTTATATATGGGTTGGTTTAATGTTGTGTTACATATGATCTTCTTATTTGGTTTTGCTAATTTCTTTCTCAGGTGAACATATTTGCAAGAGAGATCAATCCGATGTTCTTATAGTTATGTCAATGTACATCTACTCGAACCGTGTTCCGGAGACCGACATTGCCACCATGGTTCTCATTTCAGGTGATGTGGACAATGTTTCAACAATTGCAACACTCAAGGATAGGAGACATAAGATACTAGTTGTAGTGCCTCAAGACTGTCATCCAATGCTTCTTGAAAGGGCACTAAGGATTGGTACTATCTCGAAATGTTCCAAGGGAACAAACAGATTCATATGAGAAATTGAAAAAATGGGTTTAATGTTAGTTGTTCTACTTTGTAGTCCAATGGTATTATATTAATCATGATTAGACTTGTAAAATGCATCATATATGTGTGTGTACTGACTGATCAAATGCATATTAAGTAATATGATAACTTTAGTAAGTTTGGATTGATTTGGGTTTGATTGATTTTGTGGTTCCAAAACTGTTCAATTTGGTTTACAATTTTACATGCCTACTCTTAGATCCGTCTCTCACTGCTGATAGCACAAAATTGTTTTCAGGAGAGAATAAAGAGAAAGTAATCACTATGATTATTGCCTTCCACTTGACACTGTCTAGATACAGTGCCGGTTTAGAGGGAGGTACAAGGTGTGACGACTGGCCGTCCATGCTCCATGATATAAGGGGCACACTTGTTTTTTTTTTTAAACAGATATTTAGAGAAAAGTTCTACTTTTTCATGATATATGTTTTCAGATACGTTCATAATTAACCAACTATTTTAGTATATTTTTTTTTTCATTTAAAATAGATTCAAAGATAAATAAAATACATATTTTTTATAATAAAGGGCCTAATTTTACTTTTTGCCCAGGGGTACTAAATAAACTTGAGTACACAAGCAAAACTACGTTTATACATTTGTCAAATTCTCTGGATTGTTCTTCACCTAAGCGTAATTCCCTGCAGTCAAAACAAATAGAGAGCTCAGGACAGGCAGTGCCCTCACAGTCGCAAATTTTGCACAACCATGTATATATTGTAACCTACCCAGACAACTTTTCCAAACAAGACCAGGCCTCAGTCACATCGACCTGCAAATCATCAATTCACATATATCCGGAAGTGGTCAAGAGAATGTTTACTGCTTTGGCATAGCTGACTAGCGAGAAGCCAATATGTATATATCTTGGGACTAACCTCAATGATTGTTTCTCTGGTCATGACACCGAGTGATGTATACACTGGAACGTTCAGGTTCTTCTTGATCCTGATGATCTCAAGACACAAAGTGCATCTTAGTTCAGGGTGAGTAACGTTGGATATTCTGGAACCAGGTCCAACCAACACTCATGCTCATGATTATAAGTATATATAAAAGGAGAAATTAATATGATTATGTCAGATTTAAAAAATATTTCTTATTAGATTAAATAATTTAAAAAGGAAAATACAATTTGTATTCTTTAAAATCAATTCAGAATTCTTTGCAAGCGGCTCGTTGGTATTTGAGCATGGGTCAGTGTTTACTACCAACGAGTTCGAGCGATCGAACACACCCACACACACACAAACCAAAAAAATAAAGAACCAAAAAATAAAATCAATTCAGAAACAAATAAAGTCAAATACAATTAAAAAAACTTAGATAGGATCACAAAAAAACGTAATATTATGAGTAGCTAAACAAACTACATATTATCAAGTTGAAGAAAATATTGGTAATAGTACTTTACATTACATGCCTAGTAAGATCGGAATATTACTTGCCTAGTTGCTTAATCAGATCGGAATATTAATGCATACATGAATTTAAACACCTCTGTCTATCTTTGTTTTATACAACTAGTTGACTTTGTTTTACTTCTTTGTTTCATATATATATCGAGAAGGGGGTTTTCCTTCCGAAAACCTTTCGCCCCTGCAGAGTCAAACCCTACAGTGGAGACGTGGAGTTATTGTTATTCAGGGATGAGTGTGGGTCAAGTATGAAGTTTGTCCTAAGATTAGAACGTATAGTCTGGTGTTTCGAACGTGAGAGAAAGAAAAGGTGGTTCTTCGAGAGTGGAGTTGAAACTCTCTTTTCGAGAGAACGGGTCACGAGGGTCCTCGACGGTTCCTTTAGTCAGGTCATGTTTAGTAACAAATGTATTTATGACCGAACATTTTTAAATTACAGTATATGATAAAAAAAATTTATGAACTACAAATAAAGGGAATACTTAGCAATACGAAAATAATAATTAAGAAAATAAAACAAACTGCGCATCCCACCAAGTTATACTTAAATCGGTGAGGGCAACCTCCTTCTTCCATTCGTCTCCACATTTGTAGCAAAACGAATACCCACACCTATCCATCAACCATAAAAATACACATAATGTTAGTTAGGCTGAAAACATAATCAAAATTCCAAAAGAATAACTATAACAAGCTAGAGTATGCGATTCAAATTGATGACATATACCTGAAGTTATTTGAATGCATCCTACCGAACGTTCGACCATATGTTTGCACTTTCCACATTGACGCCACTTTTTCTGGTTTGCTAGAGATATGAGCTTCATATCATTTTCCGTAGGATTTGGACCTAATCTCTTGTAATCGTCGCACGACAAGTTACTATGCCATGCAACTTTGCAGTTGATGCAAAAGGGTTTACCGCATTTAACACAACAACTCATAGATCCATCTTCTTGATTAATAGATTTAGAGAGCTCGGCTTCCGACATTAATGCGAGCACCTCGGTCTGGGCAGTAAACTCTGTCTGCCACAGGAACCGATTCCTCTTCGATCCTTCGTTCCCACATCTCTCCTAATTTAGGTGTCAAAAGATTGACACAGCTTCCAGGAGTTAGCTTAGACTCGCATTGATAATGAGGACATCCTAGTGCACTTCCCTCGAGTAGTGCCACTTCTATATATCCGTTTCATGCACTCCATGCAGAATTGATGACCACATAAAGCACAGAGAACATCTGATCATCCTCTAAACCATCATCGAAACAGATACAGCAAGTAGTACTCTTCTGAGCAGGAGGGATACTTATGCTGATTTCAGAAACTACTGTTTCCATTGCGAGGTTATAAGCAAACTTTGTTTGATTTTCAGTCATCAGAACAGCGATGCTAGATCTCAGTTGTTGTCTGATGCGTTGCACATCATCCATAAGTAAAGCAATTCTGACTTTCTCAGGCGCAGATCGTCCCATGACCTAAAACATTAAAAGAAAAACATATATTAATTATTAGACTGAAGTAAAGATATGCATGTGGTGAAAGTAACCTTAAACTAGCCAAGTAAAACTAGTTACCAATTTGAAAACCGGTAGATAATCACAGTTGATGAAGATATGATTGATCCCCAAACCCACGGCTTGGGTTAGTCCTTGCTTCAGTGCCGTAAGCTCAGCCTCCAAAGCTGTAATGGAAGATTCATGAAGTGATCCTTTCGTCTGAAACAAGAGATTATCATCTTCGTCGCATATCGCAACGCCAAACCCTGCCAATAAACCTGTTGTTTCTTCCCTTATCAAGCCCTTGAAGTAAAGGTTGTAGTGCATGTGGGAATTGATGTTGCCGGAAGATTTTGACGGTGAGGGTTTTGAGCCATCTTCTCGTACTAGAGTCCGTTCTTTCTCCATGTATCTTCTTATCTGTTGCAAATAAATACTTTAAAGATTTTTTTTTTCTTATGAGTCTTACGTTTTATAAATCATAGTGTATATATGGAGAAGAGGCTCCTCGTGAGATAATATATATATATATAAAGCATAGAGTTCCAACTTCCAATTTAATTAGGATTATGGATTTTGTATACTTTTCCTATCACGATTTTACTTTACCTCATTAAATGCCTAATTAAGTGGCAATGCAAAAAAAAAAAAAAAAAAAAAAAAAAAGGCACAGAAAAGGTAGACCCACCTGGTAGAGAGAGCTATTGGCTTTTGTGGCATAGATTATAGACAACCTCCTCCAATGCTACGGCATTTCCATTCGGCCCCCTGGCCTACTCACACTTCTCTCACCACCTTTGGTTGTTTCTTCAGGACAGCTTTCATTAGGTGTGTCATTCACATCATCCTTCCAACTATCAGTCAATCCCAATAAGACAGGTACATGTATGCGAAACTAGGCAAAACCAGATTTGATTATCCGTTGATGGAAAAAAGGATGATACAGCAAATCATCTAAACTCAAAACAGAGTCACAACAGAACAACAAAGTCAAACAAACCCAAAACAAGAGTTTCCACAGAAAAAAAGACATCACAGACTTATGGATCATTATACTCCCTTAACCTTTCCTTCCACATCAACTTGTTCAAAAAGGCTTTAGGTATTTCTTTTATTGCTCTCGTTGTTGCAAGAGCTTCTTTTTCTATCTCTTGTTTTGCAAGAGCTTCTTCTTCTGTCTCTAGTTCTTGAAAAAACTGCGCTAATTCTATTGTCAGTTTTGCAACAGCTTCTTCTTCTGTCTCTGTCACTTCCAACAGCTTTTTCTGCTATCCATCTTGGAACATCTTCTTCTTCTATCAATCTTGAAACATCTTCAATTGTAATATCTTCTTCTGTCAGTGTCTGCTGCTGCTTCTGTCTTTGAGCTTGCAAATTCCACATCTTCAATAAGGTTTCCTCCACCACCAGTAAGGCTTTCCCAAAGCCAATCGAAGCTTTCTGTAGGTATATCAACTTTCTTGACATTCTTGTTCTTATGAGACTGTACTAAGAGAACACGGAATTTCCTAGCTTCCAAAGATTGAAGAACACTGACCAACTCTGGTTCTTGTGAGATGTTATTTGAGACAACCACCAAATTTGCTGGTTCATCATTGCCAAAACGACGATTGTCCAGTGCCCATAGAAGAATGTGTCTGATCATCATTTTAGCTCTCGCTGATTTATCTCTCGAAACTATAGAGAAAAACAAAAAACATGACACACATGTAAAACAAAACAAAACAGTCAAAAAAAAAAAAAAAAACAAACAAAAAAAAAGGAGTGGTTATGGAAGTAAAGGAATTCACCTCCGGTAATGAACTTGAGTCCGGCGTTATGATATTGTGGTAGCAACAAATCGGGGAGTGTTTGCTTGTCAACATAAAACCAAAATGCCAAATCTTCTTCTTCTTCTTCTTCTTCTTCTTCTTCTTCTTCTTCTTCTTCTTCTTCTTCTTCTTCTGTCAGTGTTTCTTCTGCTGCTGCTGCTTCTGTCTCTGAGCTTGCAAATTCCACATCTTCATCAGTAAGGTTTCCTCCACCACCAGTAAGGCTTTCCCAAAGCCAAGCGAAGCTTTCCGTAGGAATATCAACTTTCTTGACATACATGTCCTTACTAGATTGTACTAACAGCACGCTGAAATTCTTCTTCTTTGCCAGAGCTTGAAGAACAGCTACAAACTCCGGTTCTGGTGAGATGTTGTTTGAGACAACCACCAAATTCGCTGGTTCAACATTGCAATCTCTACGCATGTCCAGTGCCCAGAGAAGAATGTCTCTTATCATAACCTTCGTTCTCGCAAATTTAGCTTCCGCGCTAGTACCCCCCACAACTATATATCAACAGAGATCATTGGATTACAGATTCAAACTTTTAAAATGAAAAAAAGGAAAGAAAATACTGTAGTGGCGTAAAGGAATTTACCAGATGTTATTAAGTGGAGACGGGCGTCTTCGTAATGCCGCACCAAGTAATCCGGGACTGGAAGCTTGTCAGCATAATAATACAACTCGAAAAATCCAAACATGTTCTTCTTGGCAAGAGAAGCCTTCAGATTGTAATTCACCATAATAGGTGTGAAATAACCAGCCATTGCTAAATCATTATGGTCCCAGAACACCCCTATGTCATTCTCTGCAAAGGAGAACGCACATAAATAAGGCCTTTTAACAAACAAAAAAAAAAAAAAAAAAGAAAAAGAAAGAGAACGCACGAAAACGAATGAGATGGTGATTATACTGTTAATAAGATTATGACAATTTAATATGAACACTACTAGCTAGATATCTGCTGGTTTCCCTTCACATACCGATCAGATGAAATCTAATTCACATATAATCATATAAAGACAGACAAACAATCTCGAGAGAGAGATAGAGAGAGATCTTACGGATGTTATCTCCAGACATGGTTTACTACGGTTTTGAGACTTTGGGGAAAAGAGGAGAAAACAAAGTAAACTAGCTAGGGTTATAAACTGAAAACGATGGGATGATGAATGAGATCTTTCGCAGGAGGCTTTGTTTTTATAGACTCTTTAATTAGTGGATAAAAATGTAAAATATCAATTTTCTTGATAAATAGTTAAATATTAGTACTAGTATAATAAGTCGAACATGGTTAGAAATAATAAATAAAGGAAACATGTGATAAAATTTGATTGAAAACAAAATAGAAAGGAAACTATAACTACTTTAATTTTATCACTTATTAAATTACAAACTCCTATATAGGAAGAGCTTAATTTAGTTCTGATAAAATATGCCAAAAACTATATATATGTCTACACCTTTAAAAGAAGGAAAACTTATTTGCATGCATAAAGAGAAATCAAAGTCAAGCAAAAGGAAATTTGCTATTACGTTAAAACCGAATAGTGGAGCAACTATATTGGTACTTTACGAAGTCCGGTTAAATTAAAAGAGTCAAGTACAAGGGAATTGCAACTACACAATGACATGAAATATTATCAGTTCCCAATTGTTTTACACAACTGACAAGTGACAACTATTAGTTGAAAAAAAAAATCACGCACTCACGCCTAGTTTTGATAAAACTTTTATAAACTATTGACATCATCCAAATGCCTGTCTTCATTTCTTTTTCTTGGCCATAACTTTCTTTGGGAGCTTCTCCAGTGGTGTTGATTTAAGTAAGAAAAGCCTTGCAGCTCGTGCTTGCAATGTCCCTCCACATTTCATTCCACGTGACTGAAGCTCAATCTTCAATCTCACCGACCCCAAAACCTGAAAAAAAAACAACCAAAGCAACACAGATGTGATACAATTAAAGGATTTGTAATTAGAGTGTAAAGACATGATATTAGTTTATTACAAACCTCCATGTCTTGTGCTGAGCTGAAGTCATCAAAGTTATCAACGCAGATTCCAGTAAGGTCGACAGGGTTTCCTTCATCCCATAGGCTTGTGGAAAGCCATATCGAGGCTACAGACTGAGCTAGATCTTCTGACGCGACCTCCTCTTCGGGCTGTGCTAAGAGAACTTTGTAACCTCTACTTTTCAAATTTTGAACGGTGAAGAGGAACTCATCGAAGTCGGTACTCTTCACGAACTCTTTGTCTGCTGAGAGGTCTAGGAAGATCAAGATAGTTGTTCCTTCGTGATTATTGTCCACTAACCAGAGGAGAATGTCCCATACCATCTTATTAAGTCTCGCATCTTTACCCCCTGCAGGAGCTATATATCTCGACGGAATCTTCTAAGTTAGTAAATAAAAAAAAAAAAGAGAAAAGAGAAAAGAGAGAAAGAGGCTTGTTTAAGTAAAGTAAAGCAAAAGGACGACTTTCACCTTGGACGATGGCAATCCCGGCATCGCGATATTTATCGAGCAATTCATCCGGGAACGTTTTCTTCTCACCATAAGCCGTGATTGACACGGCACCACCATAACCCTTATTCTCAAGAGCTTTTTTATATGTGCATGAATCGAATCAGGATTCAGACCTTCAGGGATTGGGCAATCCTCCAAGTTCCAGAAAACACCTGTCTTAGCCTCTGCGAGGACGGAGAACGCGCGCATAAGAAACGGAAAAAATAAATATACATAGACAAACATTCTCGAGCAAGAAATAGAGAGAGATGTTACCGATATTTTCTCCGGACATGGTTTCTTTGAACGGAAGAAAAGTAGAGAGACTCCGAAGAAAACAGAAAAGGAAAAAAAAAAGTAATTTAGGGTTACCTCTGTGAGCCTTCTCGTGAGGTCTTATTATATTGCGACTTTAGCCACGTTAGCTCTCATGCAAAATTACTAAATTAACATAATTTTAATAACATATGTCGTTCAACTGTCAGATTTTACACTTTTTCTTTTTTAGCTAGAATTTGACATATGCTAACATAAATGGAAAAAATAACATGATTATGTCAGATTTAAACAATCTTATTATATAAAGTTGGATGCGCACAACGTAGTTGCGACACGTAGGATTTTTATAAAATTCAGGATCACGACATGTGTCACTTTTAAGTTTATATCCGTTAAGATCGTGACACATGTTTTAGGGAAAAAAAATAAATGCTAGAAAAAAGGAAAAAAAAAACGAAATTTAGTAAAAAGAAAAAATATATATATTTGTCATATCCTTATATAAAAAGGTTTCTAATTCATCAAATTTATATTATCCAAACATATATTAAATTAATCTATATAACTGATAAGGGTGTCTGTTGGACTTAGCTCAATACACTAACACCACTTTTAACCATAAATATTAAAGATTGCTATATAAAAAAAGCTGTCCCATGATACTAAATATAATCTTTATATGTTTTAAGCGGAGACATCCAGAGGACTGATGATAACGGCTTTGCCTCGGTCACGTCCTAGTAACTAGAGTTAAATAATGTATTAAATAAAATCTTATTATTACATGGAATAGGTACGTAAACTAAATTTCCTATAACTACATGGAATATGTTACATGAATCCTATAAAAAGAAATTTACAATAGTATATTTTTTCTCATTCACAAACTCATCAAAGCAAATTCATCAAATCTCTCTAATTCTCTTTCTCTACTTTGAAAATTATGTCTTTGAAAGTTCAAGAAAACAGTGGAGATTAGTTGACTCTAGGTCAATTGGATCGAAATCGAAATTATCGCCGTACTATAATACATGTTATTCGAAAGTGAGAAGTTAGAAATCCTAAAGAAAATAAGTATAAAAAAATCTAACTAATTAATGAAAATGAAAATGAAAATTTATAATGATCTGAGGTAGAGAAAGAAACAATATAAATAGAAAACTAACAAAATAATTAGCAAACAACTAACTAATATTAAAGAATTATAATGAACCGATATTTTAATGTTAAATAGTTTAATTTTTAATGTTGTTAGGTAAAAAAATATCAATAAAGATTTCATCAATTCAAAGCTCTTTAATGGAATAATTTTTTTTTGTTGAATTAGTTAGTTGATCAAACCCGCGTATACGCGGGCCTTAATCTAGTACTAATAAACAACAACGGTAAGTAAAATTATATAAAATTTAAAACAAGTTTTTCCTGTATATCACTTATTGGTGGAATGAATGTTGTTGTAAAATGTATGACATAGTGGAGCTACTATATATTTCTATGAAATGTTACTTACCGTTGTCCGGTTAAATTAAAAGATCAAATCAAAGTCAAGGACGAGGGAATTGCAACTACACACAATGCATGAAATATTATCAGTTCTGTAGTGAACTAACACTCTCTTTTACTTATAAGCTCTATGTGTGTTGTACACAAGAGATTGTGTGTGTGAGAGACAACAAAGAAAGAAAGGTATTAAAGAGAGTTGAATTTCGTCAAACAACTTCCGTTCTCTAGCTATAACAATTCACTCCAATAACCAAATACATTTCCTCCAAACCAGTTTCAAAAGTTGATGTCATCAGAAACAAAGCCAAACAGACGGAAACTTTAGGAACAAGGAAGTTGAAATGATTGATTACCAATTGGAAAAGTTTTAATTACCAGAAATAACGTTTTTTGTTAGTGAAATGCCGTCGTTTTGGGTTTAAGAAACTAAAAACCCCTTGTCATAGAAGAAGACGTCTCTGTCTCCAAATTTCATGTACATCTCCTTAAGTGTTCAGAGTTCACTTCACCTCAATCGAATTCGTCTTCTTCCCCTAATATGTGATTTATCTTCATTCCCCTATTCCTATCCCTTTTCTTTGCATCTTTTGTAAAAAAACGAAATTATGTGCACTTGGTAAAGAGAGTTTTAATTGTTAATTTAAAGATTTTTAATTTATTTTTGCATTGCCTCCAAATTAGACATTTAACGAGGTAAAGTATAATCGTGATAGGAAAAGTATACAAAATCCATAATCCTAATTAAATTGGAAGTTGGAACTCTATGCTTTATATATATATATATTATCTCACGAGGAGCCTCTTCTCCATATATACACTATGATTTATAAAACGTAAGACTCATAAGAAAAAAAAAATCTTTAAAGTATTTATTTGCAACAGATAAGAAGATACATGGAGAAAGAACGGACTCTAGTACGAGAAGATGGCTCAAAACCCTCACCGTCAAAATCTTCCGGCAACATCAATTCCCACATGCACTACAACCTTTACTTCAAGGGCTTGATAAGGGAAGAAACAACAGGTTTATTGGCAGGGTTTGGCGTTGCGATATGCGACGAAGATGATAATCTCTTGTTTCAGACGAAAGGATCACTTCATGAATCTTCCATTACAGCTTTGGAGGCTGAGCTTACGGCACTGAAGCAAGGACTAACCCAAGCCGTGGGTTTGGGGATCAATCATATCTTCATCAACTGTGATTATCTACCGGTTTTCAAATTGGTAACTAGTTTTACTTGGCTAGTTTAAGGTTACTTTCACCACATGCATATCTTTACTTCAGTCTAATAATTAATATATGTTTTTCTTTTAATGTTTTAGGTCATGGGACATATCGCATATCTTTACTTCAGTCTAATAATTAATATATGTTTTTCTTTTAATGTTTTAGGTCATGGGACGATCTGCGCCTGAGAAAGTCAGAATTGCTTTACTTATGGATGATGTGCAACGCATCAGACAACAACTGAGATCTAGCATCGCTGTTCTGATGACTGAAAATCAAACAAAGTTTGCTTATAACCTCGCAATGGAAACAGTAGTTTCTGAAATCAGCATAAGTATCCCTCCTGCTCAGAAGAGTACTACTTGCTGTATCTGTTTCGATGATGGTTTAGAGGATGATCAGATGTTCTCTGTTGCTTTATGTGGTCACCAATTCTGCATGGAGTGCATGAAACGATATATAGAAGTGGCACTACTCGAAGGAAGTGCACTAGGATGTCCTCATTATCAATGCGAGTCTAAGCTAACTCCTGGAAGCTGTGTCAATCTTTTGACACCTAAATTAGGAGAGATGTGGGAACGAAGGATCGAAGAGGAATCGGTTCCTGTGGCAGACAGAGTTTACTGCCCAGACCAGAGATGCTCGTCATTAATGTCGGTAGCCGAGCTCTCTAAATCTATTAATCAAGAAGATGGATCTATGAGTTGTTGTGTTAAATGCGGTAAGCCCTTTTGCATCAACTGCAAAGTTGCATGGCATAGTAACTTGTCGTGCGACGATTACAAGAGATTAGGTCCAAATCCTACGGAAAATGATATGAAGCTCATATCTCTAGCAAACCAGAAAAAGTGGCGTCAATGTGGAAAGTGCAAACATATGGTCGAACGTTCGGTAGGATGCATTCAAATGACTTGCAGGTATATGTCATCAAATTTGAATCGCATACTCTAGCTTGTTATAGTTATTCTTTTGGAATTTTGATTATGTTTTCAGCCTAACTAACATTATGTGTATTTTTATGGTTGATGGATAGGTGTGGGTATTCGTTTTGCTACAAATGTGGAGACGAATGGAAAGAAGGAGGTTGCCCTCACCGATTTAAGTATAACTTGGTGGGATGCGCAGTTTGTTTTATTTTCTTAATTATTATTTTCGTATTGCTAAGTATTCCCTTTATTTGTAGTTCATAAATTTTTTTTTTTTTTTTTTATCATATACTGTAATTTAAAAATGTTCGGTCATAAATACATTTGTTACTGGCCATCCATTAGTCCGATCGTTACATAAAATATTTACTCTGCTTGAAGAACGACTCCTCTACACTTCTTAAATGATCCCATTTGTTATGTTTTAGTGACATAAAACAGCTCCGCTCTTACTTGCAGGAGGTGCAATTTGTCTTCCAACCTAGAGATTGTAATAGTGTGGCAGATAGAGTAGCGAAGGAAGCTCTTTCAATTGAGATTGATGCTCCTAAGGTGTACTCTATAGTGCCATAATGGGCAAAAGTTCAAGTCAATGTGGACAATATGTTGTAATCCGACATAGGTTATTAGAAAGTTTGACGTTGAGCCAAAAAAAAAACATTTGTTACTAAACATGACCTGACTAGAAGAACCGTCGAGGACCCTCGTGACCCATTCTCTTGAGAAGCTAGAGAGTTTCAACTCCACTCTCTCGAAGAATCAACTTTTCTTTCTCTCTCTATTGTAACAATTGCGACGTGATCCTCCAACTGTCCAACAACACCGTCACCGTCATAGGTCGCGGGCGGCGGGATTTGCATGTATTACTTTTGAGGTTCTTTTTGCTATTGCTTTAATAATTTTTGTCATTATCAAAGGCGGACCGGACCTACTTGAACAAAATAGTGGTTCAAGACTTCAAGTGACACACCTTTAGTTTTGTTTTTTTGTTTTGTTTAAAGCTTATGGGTTTGTTAATTGAACCAGCTTAATCTTTGATTTTGACACCCCATTGACTACAACCCAATGTTTTTGGTCCACTAAACTCTTACTAAAACTTCACCATAAACCGAATAAGACTTTTTTTTTTTTGACATCAACCGAATAAGACTTTTTTTTACCAACCAAGAAAAAAAGATAAACAAGCTTTCATTAAATAATTGCTAATAACATAAAGCCCAATTAGCCTAATAATTTAGATGGTTAATTTTTTCGGGTCCGCCACTGGTCAGTAATTCAGTATAACTGAACAAAAACAGAATAAAAGGTTTTGACGTTTTGTAGATTTGTCATGTTGTGATATACTGATATAAACATTTTGTTTTTATGTGAAAAAAAAAAGTTCTTTTATGTCTAAGGCAAAACAAAAAAGGACAAAACATCGTATATTCTTCTTCTCTTCCCCTGTATTTTCGGGATATCATTAACTAAACAAATTTCTTCCCTTGATCTAGTTTGGATTCACATGAATGAATCAATCTTCTGAGAATGCTTTCGCAGTAGCAGAGGAAAGATGATTCTTCCTAAAATAGATGACCCAAAACCCTCAGGAAAACCTTTACCTAACAAAACTTCCGGTAACTTTGGCATTACTCCTCAACGCTTGTACCGTCTTTATTTCAAGGGTTTGGTACGTGAGCACTCATTGGCGGGATTTGGAGTTGCAATTTGCGACCAATATGATAAACTGTTGTTTCAGATGAAGGGGCCAATTCATAGCCCCAATGTTACTGTTTTGGAGTCTGAGCTTACTGCATTGCAACGAGGACTAACCGAAGCCGCGACTTTGAGGATCAATCACCTCTCAATCTACTTCGATTATCAGCCACTATACAAATTAGTAAGTTTTTTTTGAAATATTTTCTTGTCTTTCTGTACATCCCGATTTGCAATAAATGAAGGAGAGGAATACGAGAATTAATTTGGCTATCTATGTCATCAAAGTGCACTTACCTTTTCGGTCAAGGGA